GACGGCACCAAGCAAGATCAGCTCGTTCCCGTCCAGGTCAGGGGTCTGGACGGTTGCAAGGCCCGTTTCGGGGGGTTCTGCATCTGCATGTTTGCCATGTGTATGCGCACCCGTCCTTGCGCTCCCCGATCCAGATTTTGTCTGGTTGCCTTCCCTTCTCCTCCTTCCCCTGCTCATGATCCTCCAGCTTCTACGGCTGCTGCTGCTGCTGCTGTCCCTCCTCCTTCGTCTCCTCTTGTTCCTCCTCATCCTCCTCGTTCTCCTGCCCCCGCCCCCCTCGCAGGTCCCCCTCCTCGGGTATTCGCCCTTTTCCTCCTCTCCCCCGCATTCCTCCAGCCGTCCCCTCCTTCACCATAACATGACATCGGGTTCAGCGTCCTGATCCAAGTCGGATCTTTCCGTTAGCCCTCCACCTTTTGCCCCCTTTTCCCCCCTTCCATCCTACTGTCCTTCCTGCTCTTCCTTGCCCTCACGCGCCCCCCTTTTTGTTCCTCCTCATCTTTCCCCTCCCCCTTCTCCGTCACGCTGCTGGCCTTGTCGCTTCCTGATTCAATCTGTTCGTGGTCGTCGTACCCTCACGCCACCCTCCTCGTCGTCCCCCCGATGCAAATTCTTGTTCTCCTCCGTTCCCCTCCCTTTCCTCTGTTCTCTTCCTCTTTCGCCACTCCCCCTCACTCATTCGCTCTTCTCCTTCCCCCCTGCGATCCTTCGTTTGCAAATCATGGAAGCCGTGTATACCCTCGCAAGTCCGTCTGTAGAGCGCACTTGCGTCGATTAGCGTCTGGTGATCGATGGCGATAGCGCCGATCTAGCGTCGATGAACGTCGATTTAGTGTCCGTTAGCGTCGGTCAGCGTCGACCAGCGTCGATTGGCGTCGACTCTCGAGAGCCAACAAGATGGTATTGGAGGCTTCCATGAACTGCCGCAGAATGGGACTTTACAACTGGAGCCTGCCGGGCAAGTGCCCGAAGCCCCTCTCCTCATCCAGCGGCGCCCAGTGTGGCTCTCCCTCTCCTGCGGCCCCCCTCCTACCCTGGAGGTCCGAGGCATGGCCGCGGGCACCCTGCACTCGCTCTTCCTGTGCAAGGACACCGACCGGGTGCATACATAATGATTTTTGTTATGATGGGGCTCGAAAAGCGTTATCTCGACGAGCGAACAACACACACAGATATACATATAGTGGGGTGGGAGGGAGGAGGACTGGCTATGGGTATGGGTGCGGGTTGTCGGACCCCGGGGGAGACTCCCGTGCGAGCGGGGACCCCCGTCCCACAGCGCGCACCCACAGGCCCCCTCCGCCCCCCCCTTGAGGCATGGGTGTGTGTGTGTGTCGTTCTCTCGCGACCCCTGAGCTCACTCGTGCAAAAAGCGCTCCAGACGCTGTGCGAGTGCACTGAGTGCACCGCCCTTCGCGTCTCGCAAGGCGGTGGCTGGGTCGGGGGCGGCGGGGGGGGCCGGCCGCCGCCGGCCCTCCGAGCCCGGGCGCCGCCGCGGCCGCGGCCGACGCCTCGGGGGTGAGGCCCAGGGGCGCTGGCGGCGAGGCACCGCGCCGGTCTGCGGCCGGCCTCCCCACCCGGGGGCCCACCCATCTGGACGCCGGAACTGGGTACGGAAAGAATGGGTACAATGCCCAACAGCAGCTCTTGCTCATCTTGTACAGGACTCGCTGTCCGCGCCGCCGCGGCCTGTCTCCATTTGAGACAGGAGGCCGCCTGCCCAACAGCGGCCGATGTTGGTTTGGGACAAGATCTGTTGCTGGGCATTGTACCCATCTTTTCCGTACCCATTTCGGGCGTCCAAAACCCAGAGATCAAACGCATTGAAACAATCCAGACGGAGGTGATTCGCAGTTTTCGGCCTCTATAGGGGCCCGCGACGGGCCTCGGGCCCGTCCCACAAACGGCTCAGGATGAAAAGCCGGTCCTGGGGAATTCGGCAACGCGCAGAGTGGGGTAGGGGGAGGGGGGGAAAGGCTTCCTAGAAGCACCCCTGCTTCTGAGAAGGCCTTCTCTATTGACGTAAAGCCGAGGCCTTCTGAGAAGCAGGGGTGCTTCTGAGAAGCCTTCCCCCCTCCCCCTACCCCCTTTTGCGCGCCGCCAGGGAACGGGTCGAGACTTCCAGGGGGCACCGTCCCGAACAAAAGTCGCGACGCCGGAGCTCTGGGCAGGGCAGAGCTGTGGGCCCTGGGGAGCTGCGGGGAGCTCCTGGGGGGACCTCTGGGGGCCCGGCGCGGGGGACCTCCGGAGACCTCCCGCACATGGAGATCAGAGTCGAGCCCTGTTTGGCGGCGCGCACAGGGGGGGAGGGGGGGGAAGGCTTCTTAGAGGCGCCCCCCTTCTTAGAAGGCGCGGGCCTTGTCTACAGATGTAAGGCCGGCGCCTTCTAAGAAGCAGCCTCCTTCTAAGAAGCCTTCCCCCCTCCCCCTGCCCCCCTCTGCGCGCCGCCAACCTGTGGGTCCCAAGATGCCCCCCGGACCGCCTGGAACGAATGTTGAGGGTGTTACGCAGGAGGGGGCGTGCGTGGACAGAAGTATTCGAACCCCCACGGCACCACCTGACTGAGATCAACACTGCTTTCGGGGGCGTGGGGGACGGTCAGACATCCCCTCGAACATGCAAGGGTTCGCATCCTGTGTCCATCTACTGTCCCGAATGGAGCCAGGGTGGATGGGGTCGGAGGTTTGCGATGTGGAGCCCGATGCTCTATACCCCGACGTCGCTGGTACGTCCGCGATGCATCTGCGAGGCGGTGCGACCGTCCCACCCCATCTGCTCTGGCCCCATGTGGGAGGCCTCCAGGGGTTGCCGACGACCGTTTGACTGCAGGCGTTTCTGAGGCCGTGGCAGAGGCTCAGAATGTCGTCAGAAAGCTGGGTCAAAGGCTCAAGCGCGACTTTGGTTTCGGAAGTGGCTCGGTTCTGCTTAGGCCCTTACCCCAGGTTTTTCTTAAGGCGTTTCGCGTACCCCTGGGTGTAACTGGATCCCTTAATGCATTTGTTCCGCATTGCAGGTTCATGATGGCAATACTCTGACCAGGATTTCGTCTCATTCCGATCACTCGGAACAGAGGGATAATTGTAGATCTCCAGGTTGCATCGCATTGCGTCCAGACACTTTGCTGGAAGGCCAATAATCATTACACGTTCTTTTTCGGGTCAGTGCATTGCTTGGGCTCGAGTCCAAGCCATCCAGTTTCGGGCCAGAGCCTCGAAGTCCGTCAGCCTCATCCGGACTGATACACCTGATTGTCACCCCTCTCACCAGTCCCTTCCTCATCCTTGAGGTGCATCCTCCTGAGTTTCCTCTTAGTCCTTCTTCTTCCCCTTCTCTCCCTTTCTTTGTTCCCCTCATCATTCCTCCTCCCACTCCTCGCGCTGAACTGCTCGTCGTCTATCCAGATCGCGCAGCACTTGCCAACCTTGCCGTCGTGACGCCGCCACGTCGTTGCGGTGGCCATCCTTTCGAGCCGCAGACGTGTTTGCATCGTGTGGCGTGTGGGGAGCAGATTCGGCCGCGCTTCTGCCCAGCTTGTGCTGCCCCGCATCAGCAAAGTCTCCTTCGTCTTCCCCCATTCAGGACAGCAGCGCCCAGGACTGCAGGGCTCTACGGCGCAAGCCCTATCGTATATTTCCGTGTTCCCCCCCCCCGCCTTGTTCTTGGCCGTCTTGCCAGTTTGTTTCAAGAGAGTTCCCAGATGATGCCAACAAAGCTCAGGAGCGGCCCCAAATAGCCCTGCGCTGGCCTCCAGAGGCCACCACAGGGCCCCTAGAGGACGCCCCGACGGCCAACATCACACAACACGAAACGGGTTCTACTGGCTTTCCGCATTCACTCTTAGATCTACGCATGGTGCCAAGGGGGCCTGGGCGAATCCAGAGAGAGAGAGAGAGCCCAGGAACGCCCCCGCAGGGCTTCAGAGGGTCCCGACGCGGCCCAGTGCAACCCCGAAAGGGCCCCCAGCGGGCCGAAGGGGGCCTCCGAGAAGCCCTGGGCGGCCCAGCGTGGGATACGACGCGGCCTCACTTGGGAGCATCGAGGGAGGAGAAAGAGGAGGAGGAGGAGGAGGAGGAGGAGGAGGAGGAGGAGGAGGAGGAGGAGGAGGAGGAGGAGGATAAGTTCCGACGACGGAGGACCGCCTGGCCAGATCTGGCACTGCTGCCCGCAGCCAGGAGGCAGCTCTCTCCCACGGCTGTCCCTCGCACGGACGGCCCGAGAGAGAGGCCGGGGCCGGCCCCGGGGCCCCCCGAATGTGGCCGCGAGGAGGCTCGAGGGCGCGCCGGCACTGCGCCTGCGGGGCCGCAGCAGAGCCCCAAACCGGCACCGCGACGGCCTCGGGAAGGCCGTCGGGTCTTCTTAGGGGGCCACAAGCGAACCCTACCCCCACCCCCCACGATTTTTGAGGGGGAGGGTGGGGTTCACTTCGCTCGTGACCTCCCGAATGAAGTGAACCCCACCCTCCCCCTCAGAAATCGTGGGGGGTAGGGGTAGGGTTCGCATGTGGCCCCCTACTTATGGTGTGTTGCTCCAGCCCACCAAGTAGAGCCAGGAGGAGCGGGGCAGATGGGGGAGAGGCAGGGTGGGCAAGGAGCAAGGGGAGGGGGGAGGGACGGGGAGAGGGGCTGGGGCGGACGGCCGCAGGGACGCGGGGAAGGGTGCCGGAGGAGCAGGAGGAGAAGGAGGAAGACGACGGCGAGTGCGAACAGGAAGAGCAGGATGCGGGGCGGGGTGGGGCGGAGAGCAGAATACGGAGGGACGGCAGCGCGGGAGCATAACGGAACGAGCGAGGTGCGTTCGATTGTCAAGAGGGAAAGAAGCACACGGACACAATTAATCGTCGATTCTCCCAAAAAGATTGGAAACTATGGGAAGTGGGGGTGAAGACAAAAACGTAGAAAATATGGGGCAATATGGGGAATCTGGTTATTTGTGTGTATTTGTGTGTATTTGTGTGTGTGTGTGTGTGTGTGTGTGTGTGTGTGTGTGTGTGTGTGTGTGTGTGTGTGTGTGTGTGTGTGTGTGTGTGTGTGTGTCAGGGCCCCTTCAGATTGGAGCTGAGCACGCGCTCCAGGAGGAGGCAGGAGCGAGGGAGCGAGATCGGCACGCCTGGAGGCAGATCGAGGGGCGACGGGGAGGCACGCAGAGGACGCAGAACGCCAGGGAGGCGCAGAGAGCAAGGGCTCCCACGAGGGCGCGAAGTTGGTCCTCGTCCTCCTCGTCCTCCTCGTCCTCCGCGGGGCTTCGCGCTTCGCGGGCCTCCTTCCTCCTCCTCCTCGTCCTCCTCGTCCTCCTCTCCTCCCCTGTGGGGGCGGCGCGAGAGCGCGAAGTTGTTCGCGCTTCGCGCAGCGCGAAGCGCGAAGTCAGGAGCCCCTGGAGAGGGGGCGGACGGCGACGGAGAGGCACAACCGGGGGGCGGAGGGAAAGGAGAGACAGAAGTGCAGAGGGAGGCCAACGAGCAGGGAGGTCGGGAGTCGTAGCAGGGGAACGGGCGACGGCGAAAAACGAGGGGACGAGGTGACGAGAACGGGGGGATGTGGCGGTTCAAGAACGCGGGAAGGCACAATTGAATGCGAGCCAATTGCAGCTAGCGCAGGTTGGCATTGGCCCCGAAGTGCTGGAAGACGCGGGAAGGCACAAGATGAGGCGAGCCAATTACCGCTAGAGGCTGGCATCGGCCCCACCAGGCATTCTGACACCAGTCCTGTGGGTAGTGCCAGCGCCCTGGTCTGTGCTAGAACAGGTTGGCGCGAAGCGCGCGGCACGGTTCTAGGTTTGTGATTGTCTTGAGACTATTGTTGCTAGATGCTCGAGTCGTCACAAGCCAGTACCCTTTGGACGCCATCTCGGCTCCATTTCGTATGCACTCATGACAATCCTCATCCTTCCCCCCCCACCGCGAGGACGGAACGGTCCTGGGCACAGGATCCAACGAGGACGGCCAGCTTGGAGCTGGCTCGGCCAATGTCGGCAAGCACATGGACCCAGTGCAGGCCATGCTCCCCAGTGACGCTGAGAGAGTCGCAGCCGGTGCTCGGCTGGACAAAAAGGGCCGGCGCGAAAGACTAAATTTTCCCAGCGCCTTTGCGTTTTGCACACTTGTAGTACTTCGTCGTAGGGCTGGCTCGCTCAGCGTTAACGCGTCGGTGACGCCAGCGCGGGCGTTCAAGTTTTGAGGCCACCGGTACCCTGAACTGAGCCAATACTAATCGCTCTTCGTTGTTGTCGGACAGCGGGGTCGTTTCAAGACTGAGATCTACGCGGTGTCAGAAACTAGAGCCCACCTCGGCACGGCACGAACGAGCCATGCTCCATTTACTCCCACGCCTAGTGTTCCCGATTGATTAGATCCTGGCAGGTGCTTACCATTCCCTCTTCCTGATGCGGAACTCGAGCGTCTACGCTTCGGGCCAGAACAGGCGTGGACAGTTGGGCGACAAGGCAAAATCGGACCGCCACGCTCCCGTGCAGGTGGTAGGCCTCCAGGGACAGGGCATTACCCGCATAGCGGGCGGCTTCCAGCACTCTCTCTTCCTGTCGGAGATTGGGAAGCCGTGGAGCGTCGGCGCAAACGACCACGGACAGCTCGCGGAGGGCGCCTCAGCGTGCGATGGTTGGTCTTTGCGGCTTACATCTTAACTCCATGTTGCCATGGGATGTGGCTTTGCATATTAGTATCTCAATGTCGACACTCTTGCGTTGAGTAATGGTACAGACACGCGGACGCAGGTCATTTGTGCATCAGCAGTTTTGCTTTCGAGCACCTTTCGAGTGGGAAGGCGGTCATCCCGAACACGTACCGAAATCAGCTTCCTGCATATCGTCGTTTTGAGTCAGGTTGTTTGGTTCGTTTGCCCGGTTCAGGCTTGCTTTGTTCTTAGGCGGCGTCTCAGCCGAATGGTGAGATTCTCCTGTACATGTAGCTTTGGGTGGCGTCGTGCGCAGTGACATCCGTTCAAACACACCGTGGCCCAGCGCGACGTGTGCCGCAGACAAAGGGCACTTAGGCGTTTTGGTCGTTGCCCCATACATCTACGCTTCTCCAACAAGACTCGACTCCATATGGTTCCCTCAATGCCCGTGTGTACGAACTGACCTGTTGGCCGCGAGTCAGGGTCAGGACAATGCGCAATTGTTCCGGCTCGTGGCCCTTACGGTTTTGCCATTTATTGGCAACTTGTGTTCGGAGGATCGTGTCTTTCGCAGGCTTCTGTCGGTGACCCAAGTCCAACAAGTTGCCGAAGTTTCGCTGATTCGTTTGCCTTCCCCAGGCACTATCGATGAGAGCAGCGATCCAGGGGATGGAGGAGGGAAGCGACGGAAGGGGGGGATGAGGGTGGGGAATGGAGGGGGGGCGGGAATGAGGGCCATCAGCGCGGTCGGGTCCAGGAGGTGTAGGAGGATGATCGCGGTGGGGTGGGGAGGGGCACGCGTGCGCATATCGAATGGCATCAGGTCCACCCCGTCACCGTGCCTGGGTTCTGCGGCGGAGGGCTCTCGGATGTTGCTCGAGGCTTCGTGGCCTCGGCTCTGTGCCAGAGGATGCAAGTGGCACGGCAGTGGTATCCATTCAGTCATATCGACCCAATCCAATCAGGCGTAGATTCTTGGGACTTGGTCTGTGGGCCACAAATATACCTCAAGCGGTACCCCAATGGTACCACCCGAGGGCCATCGAACCAAGGGAGAGGGGGAGAAGAGAAGGAGGCCAGGTAGGAGGAGCAGGAGGAGGAGGAGCAGGAGGAGGAGGAGGAGGAGCAGGAGCAGGAGCAGGAGCAGGAGGATTGAGGAGTCTCAGCCCATTAGTGGTGCGCGTTCCGCTAGGGCCAATGAGAGGAGAGCCGCTCCGCTAACTGGGGCGATGTAGTCTTAGTTTCTTTGTTCGAGGCCGATTAGCGGAGCGCCGCTCCGCTAGTGGAGGCCAAGCAATCCAATTCCCCTGGTTCGAGGCCAATTTGTGGAGCGCCGCTCCGCAAAATTAGTCGCGACAAAACCAAGGAGCATCAGGATTGACGATTAAGGGATTGAGCACGGGACTTGAGGATACGCCCATTCCGTGGCCGAGGGCACGGTGGCGGATCTTGGATCCCAGACGTTGTATTCCTTGCATTCTACGTTGATCAATATATGTGGTGCAATCAATATGGTGCAGTATACACGGCGCAGTCTATGTGGTGAGACCTGTGTTGTGCAGTCTATCTAGTACGAGCTATGTTGTTCAGTCTAGATGGTGCAATCTATGTTGTGCCATCCAGCTGGGGCAATATCTGTGGTGCAATCCATGCGGTGCAGCATCTGCTGTGTAAAATATGGTGTGCAACATATGTGTTGCGACCTGTGTTTTGCAATTTATGTTTCACGATCTATGTTGTGCAGTATATGATGTTCAACCTATATGGTGTAGTCTAAGTGGTGCAATTGACTACCCTGCACCGCGCTTGACCACCTCCACTGCTCGCGCAAACATCCCACCCACCCACCCGCAACTTGATGTTCAAAATCTCTTAAAACCGTGACGGTGGGTACCAAATTGCACCTGGCAGCGACAGCGACGCCGACGACGACAGCGACAACGACGACGACGACGCCAACGACAACGATTACGACGACACCGACGACGTCTCCAACGACTTCGACGACGCCGACAACGACGACGACGACGACGACGACACCGACGACGACGACGCCGACGTCGACGACGACGACGACGACGACGATGACGACGCCGACGACGTTGACAACGACGACACCGACGACGACGACGACAACGACGACGACGACGACGACGCCGACGACGACGACGACAACGACGACACCGACGACGACGACGTCGACGAAGACGACGACGCCGACGCCGACGACGACGACGAAGACGACGACGACGTCGCCAACGAAGACGACGACGGGGCAGGAGGGAGGACATCGACGGCGACAACGACGACAACGACGACAACGACGAGGGTGGAGGGAGGACGGCGACGACGCGAACGACGAAGAAGGAGGAAGGTCGGCGACGCCGACGACGACAACGACGAGGGAGGAGGGAAGACGACGACGACGACAACGACGACGACGACGACGACGGCGACGAAATAGGAGGGACGACGACGAGACGCCGACGACGGACGACGACGACGACGAGGGAGGAGGAGGAAGGACGACCACGGCGACAACGACGACGGAAACGACCACGACGCCAAAGAGGACGACGACGACGAACACGAGGAAAGACAGAGGACGACGTAGGCGACGACGACGACGACGCGGGAGGAGGGAGGACGGCGACGACGACGACGACGACGCAAGAGCGCGCGCGCACGCTTTTGTTGAAAATCCGTGTTGCGAAGCCTTGCGTTCTTGTAGGTTTCTTGGACACACGATGTTGAAATCCTTCCGAAGCCGATGGGTTTTGAAGGATTTCGGCATACGCGCGCGACATGCACGCGCGAAGCCCGTTTGGTAGCATTTTGTGAAAATCTGTACAAACCTATTGGTTTTCTTAAGATTTCGCCAGAGCTCGCGCGTAAGCGTTTTTAGCCAATCAGTGTTGCGAAACCCTGGGCGGTTGTATGTTTTTTTGGGGGGGAAACTCGATTGCGAAATCTTTCCGGCACCGAAGGTTTTTTGAGGATTTTGGCATGCGCGCGACGACGCGCGCGTGCGCACTTCGTCCCATGTCTTGCAAGGGATTCGCGGAAAAGTGTTATGTTAGAGCAAAAGATGTCCCGCGTATCGCTTTTTACAAGGGAGCCTCAGGGGGGCCGATCCCGGCCTCTCTGGGATAGTTTAAATTCATATTTAGGATGGACATGTGGTCAGAATCGTGATTGATTTACCCAAAAGGGGGGGATAACGCCGGTTGGGGGGTTGTAGAGTCTATTCTCTTGTTAGAAAGGAGAATCCATGCTGAAAAATCCAATTCGTGCAACCTGTGTGACATTATATACGCGGTGCAATTCATGTGGTGCTATCTACGCGGCGCGATCTATTTGGGGCGATCTGTGTGGTGCACGATGTTGCGCGGTCTATGTTGTGAAATCTATGTGGTGCAGCTGACTACCCTGCACCGCGCCTGACCACCTCCACTGCTCGCGCAAACATCCCACCCACCCACCCGCAACTTGATTTTCAAAATCTCTTAAAACCGTGACGGTGGGTACCAAATTGCACCTGGCAGCGACAGCGACGCCGACGACGACAGCGACAACGACGACGACGACGCCAACGACAACGACTACGACGACACCGACGACGTCTCCAACGACTTCGACGACGCCGGCAGCGACGACGACGACGGCGACGACGACACCGACGACGACGAAGCCGACGCCGACGACGACGACGATGACAACGACGACGACGATGACGACGCCGACGACGACGACAACGACGACACCGACGACGACGACGACGTCAACGACGCCGACGACGACGACGACGACGACGACGGTGGCGACGACGACGACGACGCCGACGTCGACGACGTCGAAGACGACGACGACGCCGACGACGACGACGACGACGACGACGACGACGACGTCGCCAACGAAGACGACGACGATGGAGGAGGGAGGACGACGACGGCGACAACGACGACAACGACGACAACGACGACACCGACGAGGGAGGAGGGAGGACGGCGACGACGCGAACGACGAAGAAGGAGGAAGGACGGCGACGCCGACGACGACAACGACGAGGGAGGAGGGAAGACGACGACGACGACAACGACGACGACGACGGCGACGACGACGCCGACGTCGACGAGGACGACGGCGCCGACGCCGACGACGACGACGAAGACGACGACGACGCCGACGACGACGACGATGAAGACGACGACGACGTCGCCAACGAAGACGACGACGAGGGAGGAGGGAGGACGACGACGGCGACAACGATGACAACGACGACAACGACGAGGGAGGAGGGAGGACGGCGACGACGCGAACGACGAAGAAGGAGGAAGGACGGCGACGCCGACGACGACAACGACGAGGGAGGAGGGAAGACGACGACGACAACGACGACGACGACGACGGCGACGAAATAGGAGGGACGACGACGAGATGCCGACGACGGACGACGACGACGACGAGGGAGGAGGAGGAAGGACGACCACGGCGACAACGACGACGGAAACGACCACGACGCCACAAAGGACGACGACGACGAACACGAGGAAAGACAGAGGACGACGTGGGCGGCGACGGCGACGACGACGCGGGAGGAGGGAGGACGGCGACGACGACGACGACGACGCAAGAGCGCGCGCGCACGCTTTTGTTGAACATCTGTGTTGCGAAGCCTTGCGTTCTTGTAGGTTTCTTGGACACACGATGTTGAAATCCTTCCGAAGCCGATGGGTTTTGAAGGATTTTGGCAGACGCGCGCGACGACGCGCGCGTCTGCACTTCGTCACATTTTTTGTACATGGTTCTCGCGACGGCACGCTCGCAAGGGCGTTGTACCGATTTCGACATGCGCGCGCGCGAAGCCTGTTTGGTAGCATTTTGTGAACATATTTACAAACCGATGGTTTCCTTAAGATTTCGCATGAGCTCGCGCGTAAGCTTTTTTGGCCAATCAGTGTTGCGAAACCCTGTGTGCTTGTATGACTTTTGGGAACTCGATTGCGGAATCCTGCCGACACCGAAGGTTTTTGAAGGATTTTGGCATGCGCGCGCGACTGCGCGCGCATCTGCGCTCCGCTCTTTTTTTGTGCAAGGGATTAGTGACAACTTCTGATTTTGATAAACGAGTGCGCGCGCATGGTGTTTTATGCAGAGGGTGGCGGGGGAGGCCGATACCTGTCCCCCTGGGATAAGGGTAGTTCATATTTAGGATGGACATGCTGTCAGAATCATACATGATTTACATACCCGAAAGGGGGGCGGATAACGCCGGGGGGGGGTAGAATCTATCGTCTTTCTAAAAGGAGAATCCATGTGGTCCAATCTACGTGGTGCAGCTTATGTGGTCCAGTTGTTTTCTGTTCGCAGTGAGTTGTCCACTCCACCGCTCGCGCAAATATCCCACCCACCCACCCGCAACTTGGTTTGCAAACCTCATGCGGCGGCGATTGCGATGAGTGCTTGGCGCTGGCTGGTGCAGCTCCGCGGCCGCGCCAGCCCTTGCATGCGCGCGCGCGCAGCGGCCAAGTAGTCTGGCGCGACCGACGCGGCCGCGATGGCGCTGACCGCTGGGCACCTCCCAGTGGGCACTTCAGTGCAAATCGGTGAATTGGGCGGGCACGGTATCATGGCGATGCCGGCAACGATAGACACGACTATGAGGGTAGCGACGATGGTGACGACAGTGACGATTCTGACGGCAAAGCCAATAACGGCGCCGATGTTGATCACGCCCGCCGATAACGATGACGATGCCCTCGCGTCGGCGATGAAAGTTGCTGAAGAAATTCGATATGCGCGCGCCCAACGCGCGCGAGTGGTCCGTTTGGTATTCTTGACACGGATCGTGCCCCCCAGGGCACGCGCGCAAGCGTGTTCGAATGCGTTCGACATGTGGCGCGAGAGGCCCGTTTGGAAGACTTGAAGGAGAATTTTGGAAAACCGGTGGTTTCTCAAGAATCCGCAGGAGCGCGAGCGCAGGATTATTATCAAATTGCGGGTGCAAAGCCATGTGTTTTTCATATGTTTCTGGGGCGATCGTTTTTGAAACCCTTGCGAAACCTAACGTGGTTGAAGAATTTCGGCATTCTTGCGCGACGACGCGCGCATGTGCATTTCGCCCCGGCATTTGCAAGTGACCCTTGCGACAGCACGCGCCCAACGGCGTCCGAAAGATTTTGAGCGCGCGCGACGGGCCGCTTGGTAGTTTTATTGTATCAGCATGCTGAAGAAGCTTTGGTTTTCTTCTGAATTTCGCAAGCGCGTGCGCCGGCCTCTTTTGAAAACCCATGTCGAGGAGCCATTTCGAACAAATGTGTCGTGACTCTCGATTTTGGTGTCCCTGCCAAACCTCCCGTTTTTGAAGGGTGTCGGCGTGCGTGCGCGACGACGCGCGCGTGTGCACTTCGCCGCGTTTCTGTTGCAAGGGATATGGACGACTGCTGATTTTTGATAAACGAGTGCGCGCGCTATTTTTGTGGGGGGGGGGGATAAGTGGGAGAACCGAACTCCGGCCTGCCTGGGATGGTACGGGCTCATATTTAGGATGGGCGATCGGGGAAAGCCGTATGCAAATTGCAATCCGAATAGGTGTGCCGTGAAATCTTGGGTGGGGGTAGATTTATATTTCTGTTTTGGAAAGAGAACAGATTCGCAGTAGTGACATGGCGGCGACGGCGACAACATAACCGCCAGACCACCCGACCGCTCGGCACATGCCAGCGGGCACTTGAGTGCAAGTCGGCGACATGGGCGGGCGCGCTATCATGGCAACGTCGACAAGTCTAGACACGATGATTTTGATAGGAGCGATGTTGGTGACGATGCTGACAGCGACGACGGCACGGCCAGTGACGGCGCCGATGCCGATCACGCTGGCACGAACGCTAGGGCGTCCGTGAACGATTTCGACATGAGCGCGCGAAACCCGTTGGGTAACATGTCGTGAAAATGTTGGGAAGTGGTTTCTTAAGACTTCGCATGAGCGCGCGCACGCTCCTGTTGAAAATCAGTGTTGCGCAACCCCTTTTTTCACAAATAGTGTTATCCTGGGCGCTCGTTTTTGAAACCTTTGCGAAACCTAAGGTGGTTGAGTGATTTCGGCATGCGCGCACGACGACGCGCGCGCGCACTTCGTCCCATTTTTCGCTGAGGGTTCTCGCGGCGGCACGCGCGCAAAGGGCGTCCGAACGATTTTGACATGCGCGCAGGACGGGCCCGTTTGGTATTTTTTTTTGTTTAAAAAAAACTATGTGGAACCATTTTGTTTTTGAATATTCGCAAGAGCGCGGGCGCAGGCTTTCTGTGAAAACCTTATTGTTGCGAAGCCATTTAGAACAATTGTTGCGTGACTCTCGGTTTTGATATCCCTGCCAAACCTCCAGTTTTTGAAGGGTTTCGGCGTGCGTGCGGGACGACGCGCGCGTGTGCAGTTCGTCGTTTTTTTTGTTTGTTGCAAGGGATGCGGAACAAAACGGCTGATTTTTCTATAAACGAGTGCGCGCGATACATTGTTGGCGGAAAATGATGGGGGAACCGAATTTCGGCGTCCCTGGGATGGTGCGGGCTTTTCTTTAGTATGGGCGACTGGGCAAAAACGTATGCAAATTGCAAACCGAATAGGTGTACCGTGAAGCCCAGGGTGGGGGGTAGATTTTAATTCTTTGTTTAGAGGAGGACATATATGCGCAGTGGCGACATGGCGGCGACGGCGACAACATAGCCGCCAGACCACCATTCAGGATGAGACGAGTGGCGGCGACGGGGCGGCGACGGCGACACCATAGCCACCTGACCGCCATCCAGAGCTCGTTCTTAAGATCACAAGGAAGAGCCCCTAAGTGCAAGCGTTGACAGGACGATGTTTATTGTAGTGCATATATGCAGGTATGTATGTATGTATGTATATATGCCTGTATGTAGGTATGTATGTGTGTACGCGTATAGTATATATATATATAATGATATATGTCGTGTATACATATATGTATATATATACAAATACATCGCATATACAGTGATAACGAAAGGGAAATCACGATTGATATACGATGAGGATGATCGGCCCGATCAGAAGCCCGAGGAGGGGAAGCGGGTATGCAGGACGACGATATGGAGTGTGAAGATGACAGCACACCGCAATTAATCATGGGAGCAAGTGCCATCGATTCTGGCCGATGATATACATTTGTGTGTCCAGGGGCTCCAGGGTACATATTGCATCGCATGCGTAGTTGTATCTTCCCCATTGAGAGAACAATTGCAAGAGCGAACCATGTATTCTGCAAAGTTGTTCCTACCCGCACTAAGGATGGCACCACCAAAGACCGCAGCCGTCCGGTGCAGATCGTAACGGATTTACAGGTCAAAGACATTGCGGCGGGCGCGCTTCACTCGTTGTTCCTTATGCAGGAGCGGGGCAAGGAGCAGGAATAATGATTTCGTTCGTAAATCATGGGTACCTTGTGCGCCCCCGTAATCCAATTTTGGCGCCGACTAGCGTCTGGTAATCGATGGGGTAGCGCTGCCCTAGCGTCGATTAGCATCGATTCGCCGCCTATAAACATCGATTCGCGTCAATTTTTCAGGATCCACATGAGAGATTCTCATGCCCTCGGATCTTTTCAGGACCCTCTTAGGACCTTTCAGCAGACTCTCAGGACCTTCTTGGGGCCCTGTCAGTAGCTTCCCGAGAGCTTCTCGATAGCCTCTCATGAGCATCCAGGGACCCCCTCAGGACTCCCTTGGGCGTTGCGTGATGAGGGGGCGATAAGTTTTGGGGGTGAAAGGGGCACCTTTTGTTCACCTTGGGGGCCCGGGGGCCCCAAAATGGGTACGGCAGGTGCTGGCTTCTCCCGCCCCGTCCCCCCCCCAATTACTCGCCCCCCATCAAGCAACGCCCAATCTCAAGGACCCTGGCAGGACCTTTCTGGGACCCTCCCCGTGCCTTTTTCACACAGGAGCACGTCAGCATCGCGCTGCTAGGGCTCAGCTGGGCTCATCCTGTGCGCGAGCCGCGCGAAGCTGCCACCGCGCTCGGGGGGGAGGGCGCCTGGGCAAGGGGGTGGCCGGGGGGGCGTCGGGGGCAAAGGAACGTTTCACCAGTCGTTTCAGGCTTGACATCGTGCATGCGCAGTGGCCTGGCCTCTGAAGCGAGTGCGCGGCTACAGTCGGGGCCTTGAAGAAGGAACCCTTTTCGTTGGGGAGGGGCTCCGTGTTCCTTAAGTGTTTCACAGTTTGCCTCAGGTTTTCCTTATGTCTTCGACAGGAAATCGAAGTTTAACTTATGGAAAAAAGGAACCTCGTTCCTTATTTAGGGTTCCTTAGGTCAACGCCCCGACTGTGCTGCCTCGCACACGGCGGGCAGCGAAACGGCGGAGAGGCCAGGGCTCGACGCTTTCGCTGTCGGCGTCGGCGTGGAGGCACGACTCGCCGTGAGTATCGGCAGCCCGCGCGCGGTAGATCTGGTTGCACATGTGCGCAAGAGTAGGAGGAGGAGGAGGCGGAGGAGGAGGCGGAGGAGGAGGAGGAGGAGGAGAAGGAGGAGGAGGGAGCCGCGCCCAGAGCATGCAGCATTTCGTCGCGCGACGCGATGGCGGCCCTAGGCTCCAGAGCGAGGCACCGTGAAGTGGCCACAAGCCGCAGCAAGAGACCCCAGAGCGCGCCAGGCCAGGGCGGGGGCATGCGCGGCATGCAGGGCCCCACGCTCACATGCCCAGGGCAGCGTGCCAGGTGCCGAAGGCACACATGCCGTCGGAGCGGTCGCGGGAGGCCTTGAACATGGCCCCCGCCAGACCGGGCGCCGGGACAGCGTCCGCGACCGCGGGCTGGCGCCTGTCCTCCGCCCGCGCGAGCGCGCTGACGCAGGCTGACCGCAGGCTCGCGCACCACTTTTCCACCGACGCGCCCGTTGGTCACAGCCAGCGGTGAGAAGTCGGGCAGGATCACCGTCAAGACGATTCGTCCTCTCTTCTGTGCGCCTTCAAATCACGTACAAACCAAGCGAGAGTCGGACAGACACGCACACAAGCACGCTCACAGACGAGCACGTCTTTCATCCTCTGGCGAGGTGAAACGCGATCTCGTCGAATGCAGCGACGCACAGACACCGACGCGCACGCACAAACGCCGATAAGCACACTCACACACACACACACACACATACGTAGTTTTCCTTCGCTGGCCAGGTGACGTCACCGTAGCGAGAGCTGGAATTGTCGCGCCCACACATAAACACAATCTTTTGCTCCAGCGCGCCGATGGGATGCACTCAGCGGATTGAGAAACATTGAGGCGGGACGTTCACAGTGAATTGGACATCTTGCCACATACGCACACACACACACACACCGTTGATTCTGTGGCCGTGCAATCAGCGTTTCGGCAGAGAGGCGCACCGTTCGTTTTCCCTGCAACGTTGAGTCAACAGCAGGTCGGAATCAGGCGGGACGCGAGCTGAATTGCATTCGAGCGCAAGGAGGCGCGCACACGTACAGACACACTTCTTGGCGTCGCGGCCACGCGCGCGGCGGGGAGGCGCGCGCGGGCCGGAACAGCTGACGCCTCGTGGAGGAGCCGGATTCGCACACGGGGGATCAGATGGCAGCACCAGCGAGAAATGGCAACGCACATGCGCACACACGCACATGTTCCCTGTTCTGGCAGGGTGACAGCGCCATCGCAGGTATAATGATATGCAGGGTATCATGTCAGTTTGAGACGCACAATCGCACACACAGGCACGCTTTTGGCGCAGCGGCCGCGCGCGCAGCGAGGCAGCGGGGTCAGACAGCTAAGGGCCCAGAGAGAGCGGCCCAGTCCTCAGGGCTCGTCCTCGCGCTTCGGCGCGCACACGTACATGCACAGTTATTCTTCCAACGCGCTAGTGGAGTGCAATCAGCAGTAGTAATCAAGCGTGGTCAGTGACACAAGGCTGAGGCATGCATACACCAACCACTGCAAGCGCGGAGGCGGATACAAGATGTTGAGCTTGAGGTGCGTAAAGCTTAACGCCAATGCGGGAGGGCGGGCAAATCGCCGCGCACATTGACACTTGACGATACGTCATGGTGTATCAGTATTCCAGATCATGCTTGAGTGACCGTGGTCACCCGAGAGAGAGAGAGGATGCCGTATCAGTATGTGTTGCAAGGCGAGGGATTGATTTGTACGCGCGGCGCTCATACATGTTTCCCATGTTGCAGACGCGGAGACAAAGTTTGGATGACAAACGCTGCTGGGTTCATTTACGTGTCAAGTTTGTTGCCTGTGATCCAAACGTGCATTGCAGATAAATCATGCGCGAAACGCTATTATCATGCACCGTCTCCGTGGCAATCCGTTGTGACGCATTCATTGTTCTAACCTGGGGCATTGTTGCACAGCTATGCGCAGAAATCCAGTGTTCAGCGTTGCTCATGAACCAGGTTTGTCCTATCGCCCGCACAAGGATTCAGCTGCATTGGGATTTTGTGGGTAGTCGACTACTTGAAGCGGTGCTTCTCGAGCTTCCAACTTATTGCCACATCCTTTTCTCCCTCCTCCATCCTTCGATGTCATTCCTCCTCCCTCCTCCCCTCTGGCTGCTCTCTCCTCATCATCATACTGCTCCTCTTCCTCTCCCTCCCTGTAGGACAGTTTGACGGGGATCTTGGGAATGCCGCTGGTGTTGCAGCCAGCTCGTGGCCTGTATGGCGAACGCCCGTGTGGAGAACGCAGGGGTGGAGGCGGAGGGGGAGGAAGAGCGCGTGAAGCATCAGGAATGTGATGAGCCGGGGAGGACCGAGGAGCAGCAGCAGCAGCAGCAGCCAGAGATTGGGAAGTCCCCCAGGCCTCTGCTGGCCTGGGCCCCAGGCTTCCTCGCTGGCTCCCGGCCGGCCTGCGGCGACCGTCGGCCCGACGCCCTCGTGCGCAGTTGTAACATTGTAGCTGTAGCCCGACCGGCCAGCCACGCAGCGCGCTCAGGACGGGACCGTCGCCGTCTCCGGCTCGGACTTCTGGGGCCAGCTCGGGCGCGGTGGCGGCGACGACCAGCTGAGCGCGGTGAACTCGCTGGTGCCGTGGACCCGCGGGCGGTGCAAGCGCGGCGGGGAGCGATATCTCAGGTCTGGGCGTCGCGCCGAAACCCGGAGCGCTTCTCGCCCCACTCTGGGGCACAACAGTCGCCCCACTCGCGGCACCCTGGGCCCTCACAGATGGATCCGACTTGGTAAATCACGCGTCATGGTGATGTCGGGGGCTCTGGTCGTGTTTTAGGTATGACGTTGCGTGTGTGTGTGTGTGTGTGTTCTCGATGGCGTCGGACCTCGGGCATGTCCTCCTGCCGGGATGGGGCCCCGGCAGAGGGCGCCAGGAGGGTTCGCACGGCGTGCTTCGGGGGTCCCCAGCAGCGGCGGCTTCTCCAGCCACTCGGAGGCACCATGCCCCCCGCCCGCCAGCCGAGGGCTTTGCACTGCCTGCCGTGCGCTCAGGAGCTCGGGGCTCACCCAGGGCGACCAGGAGTGGCTCGAGAGCCCACGGCATAGATGCCGCGGTCGTGCCCCGCAGAGTCACTCGAGCTCGGCGGTGGGTTGTTGGCTTGATCGTTCGAGCCAGTCGACAGCAGTGTGCGTCCAGGGCCGGGACGGCGGCCGTGGCCAGGCACCATCCGCTTGGGGAGAGTTCGCGCGAGCTGGGTGCATCGCTCCTTATGAAGCAGTTCAGAGCCGGCTCGCTCGCAAACGCAGAACAGTCTCTCATCACGGGATGACGGGTATAAGCATTTGATTGGCCAGTCGAGGACGCCTGGTCGATCCGAAATCCGATCCAATTCCAGTGAGATCGAGAGTGGTTGGTGTCTCTTCTTCTTACCCTCTCAGTCCATCTAGACAAAGTCGGCCTCTGCTCCATCGCTTCAGATCGTAGCCTCTGGCCACCCCCAGGCAGCATCTCGACCAGCACTCCAAGCCGAAGCCATAGTGGCGTCGATCGGGGAGGCACGAGAGAGTCGGCCCGGAGAGCGACGAGACGACTGAGGCCTGCAGAAACAGTTTTCCGTGGCAGGCGACCTGCAGACTGGCGTGGCCGTTCGTGCGGCGGTGGCGGCGGCAGAGGCCGTGGCGACGCCCCCCCCCCTCTCATGGAGAAGGACAACTCGACAGACACACACACACACCTCGTTCCCACTCGGTCATCCTTCTGCTCTTCCTCCTCCTGCTGCTCCTCCTCCTCCTCCTCGTCCTCCACATAATTAGAGGAATGTGAGGTAGAAGGAGGAAGGATTTGGACCTGTTTACAGACTTAACCCATACCGAACATTTCCTTGAACGCTCTGGACGAACTTGTTGCGGCCGAAACTCGGCATCCAGTCGCGAATCCCAGTGATGATCGAGCCGTCGACGTCTTCGAACCCCTCGCTTGGACCTCGACCTCATCTGGTCGTGATCGACATCTGGCGCGACCGAAAACCGTTACCGAGATTTTCCAGTCGCGGAGGATCTGGGAATATTCGATTCGCACCCGCGACACGCCATCGGCTTGCAAGGACAACAGCGTGTCGCCGGGGCCGCCGCCGCGACACGCTGCGCAAACGCTCCCTGCAAGGAACAGCATGTCGCCGGGGCCGCCGCCGCGGCACGCCGGGCAGGAGTCCCCGACGTGTAGGGAGGAGGCGGGGACGCAGGCCGGCTCTCGTGGTCTCTCCGCTGGCTCACACATCGGTTCGACTCGCACCCCACCCGATGCACCGCCAGAAGAAGTCCATCTCCACTGCCGCGGGGCCGTGGCCCGGGATCTCAAGGAGTGGCGGATGTGGGAATCTGCACGCCCGCGTGGGCGGGCAGATCTCCACATCTCTGCTGCTCCCCGAGGCCCCAGGGCACGATCCCGCGGCAGTGGACATGGACCTCCTCCTCCTCCTCCTCCTCCTCGCTTCTCTCCTCCTCCTCCTCCTCCTCCTCCTCCTCCTCCTCCTCCTCCTCCTCCTCCTCCTCCCCCCCTCCTCCTCCTCCTCCTTCTCCTCCTCCTCCTCCCCCTCCTCCTTGTCGCGCCACTTCTTCGCTCTCTCCTCCTCCTCCTCCTCCTCCTCCTCCTCCTCCTCCTCCTCTCCTCCTCCTCCTCCTCGCTCCTCCTCCTCCTCCCCTCCCTCCTCCTCCTCCTCCTCCTCCCCTCCTCCTCCTCCTCCTCCTCCTCCTCCTCCTCCTCCTCCTCCCCCTCCTCCTCCTCCCCCCCTCCCCCTCCCCCTCCCCCCCCCTCGGAGGGGCTGGGGTGGTCCAGCACGGGTTCCGGCGAGCAGGACGGGGGGGGTCGTAGATTGGGAGCCCCCAAACCAGGTGGTGAGACAGAGTGGGGGCGCGCATCAAGGAGGCATATGTTTTTCGTCAGGGTATCCTGGCTTTCTTCGCTCCTCGCGCTGCGCGGTGACTTCCCGCAGCCGTTGAAGGAGCTGCTACGTTCAGGGTGCTCCGGGTTTCCCCGCAGGTGCACCTCGCGCACGGGTCCTCAGGGTTGGGTTTCTTTGGAGGGTTTCTTGCGTACTGTATCAGGTGGTGACCTGGAATCCCCACAAAGTCACCGCCGGGTTGTGGGACACGGGGTCGCCGCCGGGCTTTATGACCTTTGGGCCCACCAGCGTTCGGGACACCCTCTGAAAAGCACGCGCGTCACCAGAGCGGGTGGTGACACCAAATCGCCCGAGACTCACCGCCGGGTGTCGTCACCACCACGCTTGGGGGCTTATCCCAAGGTGGGGCTGGGGGACGGGCCCAGCCGGATGCTCCCGTTTAATTAACGCGTTTCCTTCTTCAGGGAGCCGTGCGCATCCATCTTCCCTCCAGCCCCACCTCCGCCCCCACCCCACCTGTGTGCCCGGTGCCCCCCCCCCTGGGGAGGGGGGGTGAGGTCCGAGGCTCTGGGTTCGATACTGTTTTTTTGCCCTTTTCGGGATACCTGGGGGCCGTGTTCAGGCCCCGCGACTGTCAGCGCTTTTTTGAGCAGCCTGCGAGGTTGGGAATTGTGGCAGCCATACCCCGCGTTGTTTGTGTTCGCCTCGTCGCTAGACAACTGGGAAGCTCGGCTTTCCAGTCGACTTGTCGCAATCCCGAATTCATTTCAGATTTACTATCTCGTCCCCCCGAGGGTTGAGGGGGGTGTACGTCGGCGGGGGATTGGTCGAGGGCGCTCATTCTATGATCGTCTCTCACACGGTTCAGCCTTGGTTCTGCAGGAAAGTGGGGCCTGGTAAAGACCAGCTCATGTCCTTAGCCAAGGTTTGTCGTCCCGACGTGATCACCCGCACTCGGGGGGCGTACATCCAGCCGATCGGTTTTTGAGAGCCCGCCCACCCAAGGCCTCAGAGTTTAAGCGGTCGGGTTTGTTTGTGTACCTTTCTCGCTGGCCCGCAACTGTTACGATCCCTGACTCCTGGGTCGCACGCGGACAGCAGCTGGTGGACTGGGAGAGCGTTCAGCTGGGCGCCGTGGCACGGGGCGCCGACGCCGAGGACGCGAGGCGGGCAGCACAGACGCTGGAGCGGCGCTCGACGACGATCTGTTTTTTTTGCTTCCACAGCCCGTTGCGAGGCCAGAGGTGCGGGGGCGCTCCCGACTCCTCTGTGGGCTGCCTCTCGCTCTCTTCCTCGCCTCCGCTCTCCCGCCGCTGCAGGCCGGCTGTCGGCGCGTCCCGCTCCAGCCGCTCCTCGCCGTCGCCGTCGCCGCGGCCGGGGTCCTGGCGGCCGGCCTGCTGCTGATGCGCAGGCCCCGGGCTTGGCGCGCCACCTCCTCGCTCCTCCTCTCCCTGCTCGCTCCTCCTCATTCCTCCTCGCTCCTCCTCTTGCTCGCTCCTCCTCCTCCTCCTCCTCCTCCTCCTCCTCCTCCTGCTCGCTCCTCCTCCTGCTCCTTCCTCCTCCTCCTCCTCCTCCTCCTCCTCCTTCTCCTTCTCCCCGTCGCGCCACCTCCTCGCTCCTCCTCCTCCTCCTCCTCTTTCTCCTCTCCTCCTCCTTCTCCTCGTCCTCCTCCTCCTTCTCCTCCTCCATTCCTCTTCCTCATACATATTTTCTCCCTGTCGCACCCCGAGGCCAGTTTTTCGGGCGGGCCGGGCGTTTCGCTTGAGACTTCCTTACCAGCGATGGCCGTGAAGCTTAAAGTTGGAAACAGTTTCACATCTTGAGGGCGGGTCGTGTTCAAAATGTGGCTCTCGCCTGAGCGCCGCGCACATTCGTTTTCAGATTTGAGAAGAGCTTCACGGGTGGTTTTCGCCTGAGCGCCGCGCACATTCGTTTTGAAAGTTCGCAATCGTTTCACGGATATAAGGCGGCCCGTTTTGAAAATGTGGTTCTCGCCCTAGCGCCGCGCACATTCATTCGTAAGAGCTTGAAAGATGGAGGGCGGGTCGTTTTCAACATGTGGTTCTCGCCTTAGCGCCGCGCACATGTGTTTTCAACAATTGCAAGAGCCTCACGGGGTGAGGGCTGGTGGTTTTCAAAATGTCATGTTCGCATTAGCGCCGCGCACATTCGTTGTCAATGTTTGCAATAGCTTCATGGATGGAGGGCGGGTTGTGTTCAAAATGCGGCTCTCGCCTAGGCACCGCGCATATTATTTTTACATGGCTGTGAGGGTTTCACGGATGGAGGACGGTTTCTGTTCAACATGTGGCTCTCGCTTCAGCGCCGCGTACGTTCGTTTGAACATGTGGGAAAAAACAGTTTCACAAATTTCCATGGTCAGCGAGGGTATCAGACAGTGTGTTTGGGAACGGTTCAGGATTGTCTGGGCGCAACAGTTGCTTCGATTCGCGGTGTTGAAGTCCCAGGAATGGTGTTCTGGCATGATTCAGGATCGTCAAGACGCCGCAGTCACTTTGATTCGTTGGGTTGGTGTCCCGAGCATGATGCTTTGGTGCGTTTTAGGTGAGTGCGTGTTTTGGAGGCAAACTAGCCTCAAAAGCTAAACTTAAAAAACTCTAATACTACACTGATCCAACTCTGATTCAAACCTTGCCCGGAACTCTGTTTCCTCGCTGTTTTTTTGAAATTCTGATTTACCTCTGGTCTGAACTCAGATTTAACTCTGATTCGGCTCTGTCCCCAGCCAGGGCTAAATCAGAGTTACATCAGAGTTCCAGACCAGAGCTAAATCAGAGTTTCAGCTAAACCAGAGAGATGAATCAGAGTTTCAGGCCAGAGCCAAATCAGAGGTTCAGCCAAACCACAGAAGAGTTTCAGGCCAGAGCCAAAACAGAGCTGAATCAGAGTACCATCGGAGCTCTGGCAGTCCCGGGCGGATGGCGCGGGGCGCGCTGCGCAAGTGCGCTTGTCCTCTCTCCTTGCCCATCCTCCCTCCTCCCCTCGCTCTCTTTCCTACCTCGTCCATCCTCTCCCCACCGCTTCCCTCTCCCTCCCTTTCCCTCCCCCCCCGTTCGCGTCCCTCTTCCCCCCTCCCCCTACCCTCCTCCTCAGTTTGTCTCCTCCCTCCTCCCCTTATCCCCGCCCTTATTCTCCACCTCCTCCTCCTCCTCCTCCTCCTCCTCCTCCTCCTCCTCCTCTTCCTTCCCCCTTGGCCTCACTAATCCCGTTTCCTCCTTCCTCGGTCGCCGTCGCCCTCCACGTGCTGTCCCTCCCCTGCCTTCGGCCCCCATTCCTCCCTTCGTCCTTTTGTTCCTCCTCGTCGTCCACCTCATCCTCCCCCTCCCCGTCCTCCGTATCGAGCGTCGGTCTTCGCTCCTCGGCCTCAGTGTCCCGCCCTCGTTCTCGCCCTCGCTTACCCCATCGCTCCAGGCCCCGCGCCCGGCCCCGTTTCCGCCCTCGCCCCCGCGCCCGCCCTCGACCCCGCCCGAGGCCATTTTCATTTCAGCCCTCTTTCTCGCCTTCGCCTTCTATCCCGTCCTTGCTCGCACAGTCGTTCCCGCCCTGGTTCCAACCTTTGTTCCCGCCCTCGTTTTCGCCTTCGCTCCCGCCGTCGCTCCCTCGCCCTCGTTCCCGCCGTCGCTCCCGCCCTCGTTCTCGCCCTCGTTCTCGCCCTCGCTCCCGTCCTTGTTCCCGCCCTCGTTCCCGCCCTCGTTCTCGCCCTCGTTCTCGCCCTCGTTCCCGCCTTCGTTCCCGCCCTTGTTGCCGCCCTCGTTGTCGCCCTCGTTCCCGCCCTCGTTCCCGCCCTCATTCTCGCCTTCGTTCTCGCCCTCGTTCTGGGGCCGCCTGGAGGCCGCCCAGGGAACCCAAGGGCCGCCCGGGGAAATCATACTTGAAACAGATTGTCGGCCAGACCTCAAGCAGGCATCAGACGGACCTGAAACAGACCCCAAACAGACCTGAATCAGAGTTTGGCCCAAATCAGACCTCAAACATCAAGCAGACTTCAAACAGACATCTAAAACATACCTCAGGACAGATCTCAAGCAGACTTCAAACAGACTCCAAACAGACCTCCCTGGAGGTTCCCCGGAGGCTCCCCGGAGGCTCCCCGGAGGTTCCCCGGAGGTTCCCCGGGGAATTCCCGAGGAGCCCGGAGGAATCTTGGAGGCGCCCAGAGGCGGGCCCAGAGGCGGCCCCCCGCCCCTCGCTCCCCCCCTCATTCCCGCCCTCGCTCCCGCCCTCGCTCCCGCCCTCGTTTTTCGCTCTCGTTCTCGCCCTCGTTCTCGTCCTCGTTCTCGCCCTCGCTCCTGCCATCGTTCCCGCCCTCTTTATCCCCCTCGTTCTCGTTCTCGTTCCTGCCTTCGTCCCCGCCTCGGTCCCAGCCCTCGTTCTCACCTTCATTCCCGCCCTCGTTCCCGCCCTCGTTCCCGCCTTCGTTCTCGCCCTCGTTCTCGCCCCCGCCCCCGTTTCCACCCCAGTTCCTGCCCTCGCCTCTGCCTTCGTTCTCGCGATCGTTCCTACCCTTGCCCCTTTGTCCCCGCCTTCGTTCTGGGCACCTCCAAGGGCACCGGATTGGGGCGGTCACCGTGATGCGCATCCTGTCGCGGCGCGGCAGCCGGCAGCCCTGAGGAGCGAGCCTCGGGTGAGCTTTGTTTCGCCCCAGCTGCCGTCGAGCAGTTTTGGGCAAGGCCGCGCAGGCAGGGGGCGCTGCCCCGCCCCAGCTCGCAGTATTTGGCAGCTGGCGGCTGTGCCCCCAGCCGCGACCTGCCGCTTGGCTTACGCATTCCGTCTGTTGTTCTTGAAGGCGCATGCGCACGGGGCCGACCCGGCAGCGTTTTGGGCCGACGCCGCGACATGGGTTTCGGCGGGCCCAAACCAAGCCATAATTACACTGATTTTAGAGCCCCCAGTCGGTCCTAAATCAGACCTGGGTCGAAGTAGAATGCCAGTCAGACCTAAATCGGAATTGGTGCTGAGGGCTAGACTGGAATCGGAGTTCCAGCGCAGACATGAATCAGACCTTCATCGAAGCTTTGGGCCTGCGCAGAGAAACAGAATTTGCCCCGCAAAGACACACTCAACTGTAGGATATTCAAACGGTGTCTCCCGTCGGATTACTTTCTCCTAATTGATGGATTTTTTGCAGGGGCCGATGAAGAGAGAGCTTGGCGGGGGGGGTCCAGCGTAGCTGATGGGTCTAGGGTTTATTCGGGTCCTCGCTCCTCTTCCTCTTCCTCCTCCTCCCCCTCATCCTCCTCTTGGCTCGGGTTCATCCTCGCGTCTCCTCCTCCTCCTCCTCCTCTTCCTCCTCCTCCTCCTCCTCCTTCCACGGCGACGACTGAAGGCAACGCCGACTGATGACGGCGGCGACGCCGATGAGCGCCGACGGCGACGGCGACGCCGACGAGACCGCCGACGTCGACGTCGACGCCGCCAACAGCCAGCGGCGGTGACGCCAGCAGCGAGGGCCAGAGGAAGTATAATCGACACCGCCACCATCGGCGGGGCCACATCTCGCAAGGACCTTCACGGTGCCTCCCCGAGCCAGGGACGGGGAGCGCGCCGATCGGAGAGACGGGGGAGGATCCTTCCCGGCTCCCCGTGCTGGTGGTGGCGGCGTCCGCTCTACGTGTTCCCCGGAGGGCGACGCCGACGACAACGACGACGACGACGACGACGACGACGACGACGACGACGACTGCCGTTGCGTGCTGTCGCGCCTGGTACACTTGGCACGAGGGTTAACACCAACCCTCGATTCGGATGGTTATTTACCCTTCAGTGCTTCCTGGTTGGGCCTTGCATCTCGGAGCTTGTTTGCCCCAGCACGCCAGTTTTTAAACGCAGCGCGTGCCGTGTTCAAAACGTCTGTGTTCGCATGCTGCGTATTGGCTCAGCGTCTTAGCGCCGTTCCGTGGCGCAGGTCCTGCGTCCACGTGTCGGCCGTTGCCCTTGGGAGGCCGTCGCGGCGAGGCTCGGCCGCTCCGGCGACGGCCGGCCTCCCAGGGGTGGCGGCGCCTGTTGCCCAGCGCGGTCGTCGTCTTCGTCGTCGTTGTCGTTGTCGTTTTCGTCGTGGTCGTCGTCTTCGTCGTCGTCGTATTTGTAGTCGTCGGCGTGGTCGTCGTATTCGCCGTCGTCATGTTCGCCGTCGCTGTCGTCGTCGTCATCGTCGTCGTCGTATTCGTCGTCGTGGTCGTCGTCGTCGTCCTCGTCATATTCGTCGCCGTCGCGTCGTCGTCGGCGTCGTCGTCGTCGTCGTCATCGTCGCCGTCCTTCTCGTTGCGTGATCTCCGAACCATCGGTTGTGGAGGTCGCTGCGGCTATCGCGGTGGCCACACATCAGGGGCAGGTTTTTTTTGTCAAGGAGTGGCATGCCACTTCCCAGCCCGCATCCCCCGCTCTGCGATGAAGACGTGGACAAAGATCGAGAGTTATATGTCCAACGTGGGCAGTTGTTTTGATTTGTGAGTGTCTATGACGCAACCACGTTCGTAAGTGTCGCCCTTGTCGGCATCGTCATGTTTTTATTCGTCAACGTCGCCGCCTTCGGAGAGGAGGGGGGAGGAGTAGGAGCAGGAGGATGATGAGGAGGAGGAGGAGGAGGAGAAGGAGGAGGAGGAGGAGGAGCTGAGTAGGAGGAGGAGGAAGAGGAGATAGACAGGAGGAGAAGGAGGTGGAGGTGGAGGAGGAGGAGGAGAGGAGGAAGGACGGGGAGGAGAGACAGGCTGCGCAGGAGACTGAGGAGGGGTTCAGCAGCAGCAGCAGCAGCAGCAGCTGCAGCAGCAGCAGCATCATATAGAGAGGATCAGGACTCAGGACGAACATGAGAGGCGGGAGCATGAGGGGAAGCAGGGTATGAACAGTATGATCGGGTTGAGGGAATGAGAAGCATGATCAGTACTTTCGCCGGGTGAGATGGAGCAGCAGCAGGATGATATGTAAGATGAGCATACAGAGGAGGAGCATGAGGAGGATAACGAGGTGGAGGAGCAAGAGGAGGAGGTGGAGGAGGAGGGGGAGGGTGTCCAGGGGCCTCCCCACTTAATTAAGGAGACTGGCTCGAATGAGCGGGGATTGCCTCGTCATCTGCATGCGTCATCGTCCTTATCCAGTTTCATCTTCCATCTTGAACTCCTCCCCACTCCGTTCCTCCCCCCACTCCCCCTCCTCTTGTTCAGGCGGAGGGGTAGTAGAGCCTGCCTCCCCCCATCCCCACCCCTTGATTCCCCCCCCTCCTTCTCATGCCCTCCTCCCCCCCACGAGGACGCTGGCGAGGAGGATAAAGCAGACGACACGGTCGAGGAGGAGGAGGAGGAGGACGAGGACGACGACGACGAGAACGAGACTGGTCATCAGGAGCAGGAACTGGATGGGTGATGGGAGGGGTGGACGGGCGAGGACGGGAAGGAGGAAGACTACCGCGAGGCCGCGAAGGTTGAGGAGGGGGAGGAGAAAGTGGAGAAGGTGACAGGGGTGAGGGCGGGAGGGGGCCAGCGTTGGAGGTACGGGGGAGGGCGGGAGAGGGGGGGGGAGGATAGGAGACCGGAGAGCAGGAGGACGACGACGAGGGCAACGGCGAGGAGCAGGAGGACGAAGGGCGTGGAGGAGGAGCACGAGGACGGCGAGGAGGTGACGGCGACTGCTGCTGCGACCACGGCGACGATGCCCCAGGCCGGCGGCGGGGCTGCCGAGGTCCAGGGTCGAGGCGGGGGCCTGGCCGCTGCCTCTGGCCGCGGAGGAGCGCCAGCGCCCGCCCCTGGGGCCTCTGCAGCCGAGCCACGGCCGTGGGGCGGGCGGCCGCCCGCACGCCCCCCGCGGTCGGGCGGCCCTCGTCGGGGCGCTCCGGGCAGGGCCTCGCCCTCGAGGACGGCAGGGGAGCTGCCGTCGCTTCCTCGGCGGAAGGTCTCGGCGGAAGTTAAAGCTCTTGTGCAGGCAGTGGCCCCCAAGAGCCTCCCAAGAGGCCCAAGGGGGCCCCAAGACGCCGCCAAGGAGCCCCAAGAGACCCCCAAGAGGCCCGCAAGAGGCCCCTAGGAGGCCCCAAAGAGGCCCCCAAGAGGCTCCAAAGAGGCCCCATCGAGCGCTCGAGGGCCGGCGGAATGAGCGAAGCGATTAAATAAAGCTCTTGTTCAAGCAGTGGCGAAGCGTCCTGGCTCGCCCATAGCTCTGCCAAACAATGTTCTAATAACCTTTTGTGGTTTCCACGAAATGTGCTTGGAACATTTCTGGCGGAGTCCGTCTTGTTTTATCACGTCGGGTTTATGTTCTGAGAGCACTGTTTTGATTCTTAGAACAGTTTTGGGGCTCTAAGAACAGTTCGTGGCAGGATCCTATAGGACTGCCGGGACGGTCGGTCCCTGCTCAACTTGTGGTACGGAGCTCGCCCCGCTGGGGCCGCGTCTTGATGCTGGGCTCTTCTTCGCTTCGCCGGGTGCGTCCCGGAGGCCCACTCGAGCCGTGGGGCCTCCGCGGCTCCTCGCGGAGCCAGCGTGCGGGGCCGGGGTGGACTCCTGGGCCTCGCCTCTCCGCACACCCTCGCAGCAGGGCTTCCGCTCTGGTTGTTGGGCTGCGCCTGGTGTTGGAAGAGGCCGAAGCCCGCCAAGAACAACTTCCAAAGACTGATTGGTCTGGACGCCCGAAATGGGTATTGAAAGAATGGGTACAATGCCCAACAGCAGTTCCTGTTCAATTTGGACAGGATTCGCTGTCCACGCCGCCGCGGCCCGTGTCCATTTGAGACAGAGGGCCGCCTGTCCAACAGCGGCCGCTGTTGGTTTGGGACAACATTTGCTGTTAGGCATTGTACCCATTTTTTCGGTACCCATTTCGGGCGTCCAAAATTGGGAAGTGGCGATAGAAGCAGAAGTGAAGCGGGGCCGGTGGCGAAAGTGAGCGATGCATCCCGGAGAGGCGTCAGGGTCTTGCTGGTTCAGGTGCTCCGGAAACCGGCCATTTGGACAGCGTGTCGAGGCGCGGGCTCTGTCCCGCCACGCTGCGGCGCGACACGCAGTCAGGTTCCCCGGCCCCCCAGCTCGGAGGGCACCAGCTATACACCAACACCGATCCTGGCCCAGGATCACCCTGGGCCCAGGATCGGTGTATATGCCTTCTTGCGCAGGGCAGGAGGGCGTATACACCGATCCTGGGCCCAGGGTGATTCTGGCCAGGATCGGTGTTGGTGTATAGTTGGTGCCTTCCTACCAGCGTCAACGTCCTGAGCGGTTCCGCGCCTTGGGTGTTGGGGGGGGGGTCATCGGCTTCGACACTGCCCGCCTAGAGAGGTCGTCGGCACGAGGAGTCCTCTCAGGGGGGGGGGAGGGTGAGGGGCACGGCTCCCCCAGCTGTGGCTGGTCGTCCTGGCGCGCCCGTCGTCGGTTCGACGCCATCGCTCCTGGCTCCGTCGCGGCTGCCGTCGCGTCAGCCCCGTCTCCGCCGCCGTCGTCGCCGACCTGCTCCCTCCTGCTCCCTTCTCCTTCTCGCGCTCCTCCTTCCCTCCTCCTTCATCTTCCGATCCTCCTCGTATTCCGCCTTACCCTCGGTTAGCACTCATACTCGCTCTCGTCGTCGTCCTCATTCTCTTCTCTCTTCGATTATAATCCACCTCTGGCCCTCTCCTCCTCCTCTTCCTCCTCCTCCTTCTCCTTTTCCTCATCTGGCCCTCCACCCCTATCCTTCTTCCTTGTGAATGCCTCCCCCCTGCCGTACATGCCACTAGTCGTGCCCGCAGGGCGGGCTGGGCATTTCGTTTAAGACATCCCCGTAATGGCATTCTCACGCTCAAGACCTCCAACAGTTACAAGGATGGAGTGCTGGCAGTTTCCCAAATGCGGCTCTCGCCCTGGCGCTGGGCCAGTGGTTTCCTAAATGTTGCTCTCACCTTGCGTCGCGCACATTTATTTCAATGCTTCCAACGGTTACGAGGACGCAGGACCAGTGGGCTTCAAAATGCGTTTCTCGCCGTATCGCCGCGCGCACTCGTCTTAAACAAATCGATCCGTTACACGGATGGATGGATGGGGGGTCCAAAATGCGTTGCTCGCCCTGGCGCCTCGCACAATCGTCGTGAAATCTTCAAACAGCTCCAAGGACGAAGCAGTCTTCGTTTTCAAATGTGGCTCTCTCTTGATGCGTCTTTTAACTCTATGACCCGGAGCTTCGCGTTGTGCAGGAGCTCCCCGGATGGAGAACGGCTATGTTTCAAACTGATTCTCACGCTTGGGACGTTCTGGAGATTCCGTCTTTGGGCAATTGCGTATCCTGCCGGTCCAGAACGCGTTGCCCCACGCACCAACGCGGTCGTCCGCTGCGTCGTCTTCTCGCGAAAATCTCCTTGCCAAGTCCCAGGAAATGTTGGAGGCTGGCTGGGGGCCATCGACCAAGCATACCTACGCAAATGCGATCAGGCTCCACGTCCACGGTCTGGAACGCACAGTTGACGCAACTATGCTTCCAGTAGACTCGGTTTATAAATTAATTATGTTGTTCACTGGAATGGACGGAATGTCGTGGTCGACAATTCAGCTCAACAAGGCCGCAATTCGTGCCTGGCATATGTGCCGGGGCCTCGATTGCGTGTTCGACTCTTGTTGGGGCCACCGGGCTTATCACTTCTGAAGGGGTCTTAAAAAGAGAGCCAGACACGACAGCCACCAGAAGAAAGCAATTTCAATCGACGAGCTTGCTTCTTTCATCCAAGCCCGCCCCACCGCGGGCTCTGTCGCGGGGGCCCGGGGCGCCGCGTTCGCAGCATTCTGTTTCTTCGGCATTCGCAGAGTCTCTGAAGCATCTGGCCTCCTTGCCGCAGACGTCAAATGGTATCGGCCCCGCCCGTTTTCTTCTGCACCACAAGTGGCGCATCGCACAGGCCTGCGAGTCCCGATTTATGGATGAGACGGCTTCCTTGTATTTCTAAGACAAATCAACGAGCACGCACTCGCGCCGCAAAGGCAGTGCGCAATGGGCTTGCACGTGGCCAAAGCGCCGCCCGGGGCTGTGCAAAACCAAGGCGGTTGGCAGTCCGCGTCCGTGATGCATGCCGTGTATGCCGCAGCGTCGCCAGAGCTTTCGCGGCAACAGTTTCTGTCCGCGTCGATGGCTGTGGCGGGCGCTCCGCCGGCTGCGTCGCATGACATCGTGGCCGCGAAAGCCGCCCTGCCGACTGGTCACGGCAAATCGCCAGGCTCAGTTTGGCCCGCGTCGCCAATAGAGGGGCCAAAGAAGTTCCGCCGGCTGCGGGGGAAGCAGAAGCCCGGGAATCCCCTATGAGGTTCCGTCGGCAGCGTCGGCCAAACGAACCCAGGAGCGTCTCGTGGTAGCAAATAGGCCACCGCCCTCGCTCCTGCCCTTCATCTCTTTCCCTCCCGTCCACTTTCGCACGCGTACACACAATGCGGCCATTCTGGCCCTCACTGCGCGACCCGCCCGCCGCCCGTTGGATCGACAGCCTCAAGGGGAGTTTGGGCTCGATGGGGTTCCCTTGCCGAGAAGCTGGGGGGCTTCCCTGCCAGGAGGGCTGGACAGAGATCTCCCCCTGATGCTGGGGCAAAGCATCTAGGCATCGATTGGCCTACTTGGAAGGAGGGCGAAGCCTTTAGGGCAAGTGTCGATATGACGCCTGATTGCGCCAGCTGGTTCTACAGAAGCGGGCGCGCCATGGCCTGGTGGTCCGCGCATGCGGGCTGCGCGGTGCACGACATCCGTGGCTGACCTCATCTCCTTTTGCCTTGCCTCTGGGAGCACCGCAGGGGAGGCTGGGCATGTCCGTGTGGTGATGGTCTACGCAGGATAGAGAGAGAGGGACGGAGAGAGGGTGAGGGGGGAAAGAGAGAGAGAGAGAGGGAGAGAGAGAGACGGCCGGCATCCCAACTGATGTCCGCGCCGCGCTCTTCATTTGCCACCGAGCCAATTCTTTGCGCAAGCGGCCCACTCCCGCGCTTCCCAGCTGGTGCTCGGGGGTTGTGTCGGGCTCGGGGTGTCTCGTCCCCGCGCTGCTGATGTGCTTGGCATCCACCAAACAGTGCTTGCATATATGTACCTTTCTACCCGCCCAACTGCGGGTCCCGCACCACACAGTGCTCGTTCTTGATTCACTAGCCCTCCCGCCCAACTGCGGCTGGGCCACGTACTCGTTCGGTCCCCAGCGCCCGAGGCACGTCACCAGCACGGAGTAAGGGGGTCCCTTGCCGCGAAGCTGGGGGGCTTCCCTGCCAGGAGGGCTGGACAGAGATTTCCCCCTGATGTTGACGCAAAGCATCTAGGCATGGATTGGTTGGCAGCGCCCAGGACAGACGGGCACAGGTGGGAGCGACGAGCGCGGGCGAGACCCCAGCGGTTCCCGCCTTCGCCCGGAAAAACGGCGTTCCCCACGGGTCGGACGAATGGGGGGGGGGGAATACAGTAAAGACGCTGAAATAACGAACAGTTTGGATTCGGAAGGGGCTCGATGTTCCTTACGTCCTTCCGCGGTTGTTCCTCTAGTTTTTTTCGTGCACCCATGTTTTTTTGAAGCCGCAGAGGGACTTCGTTCCTTATTTAGCGTTCCTTCTCTCAGCAACCCGATTGTAGGGCAAGGATGCCGGATGCTTCCGGCAACCTTCCGCGTTTTTTCCAGCCCTCGGGCCCTCGGCGTTTTTTTTCAGCAGCCGCGCCTCGCCGAGGGCGGCCCGGCGGTGTCCGAATCGTCCCGAGGGGCCGCCAGAGTCTCGGGCCCATGAACCTAGATGAGGAGGGGAAAAAAGCACACTGATACAATGAATCGTCGATTTCCAGTAAAATATGCGAACATATGGGAAGTGGGGGGAACACAAGAACCCAAAACATATCGGAAGATATAGGGGATTGGGTTATTTGTGTCTATTTATTTGTGTGTCCCAGGGCCCCTTCACTAGAACCAGGCGGCGAGGATCTCTCGGGACTCGTGCTGGACGAAAAGGGAATATTGGGAGAGGGCACGGTACGAAATCTGTTGCGTGCAGCAGCCTGTCCGTGGCCACTTCGGGGTCAGGACGGCTTAGCTCTCAGGCGCCGCCGCGTCCTTTTGCCAATCTGCACCCACACAAGCCGAGACTGCAACTGCACTCGAGATCACACGGATACCATGACCTCCATGAGCAAGGCTGTCTTGCTCGCCTCCGCAGCGAGCTTGACAGCAGGCCTCCAGGTCACCACCCAGGCAGACGAGATCATCGGGGCCGCCATTGACAAGCTCGAGGGCATGTGGCCTCAGAAGGGCAAGCAGATCCTTGAGGACATTTTCGGCACCCTCCCACCCCGCGACGAGGGCAGAGCCTTGCGGGAGAGGCTGCTGCAGAAGTTCCAGAAGCACGGCACCTTCGTCTTCGCGGCCTTCGGCTCGTCTGTGTCTGCTGGCCACGACAACTTCATGAACCAGAGCTGGCCATTCGAGCTCGAGCGCATGCTGAAGCTGACCTTCAAGGAATTGGGATTCGACTTCGAGATGCGCCAGCGGTCTGCTGGCGGTTTTGGGGAGATGCCCTTCGGTGCCGGTTGCCTGGCGAGCCGCGCGGGCGAGGGGGTAGACGCTCTGAGCTGGGAGTGGCACTACTTCCAGGATCCCCCCTGCGAGGGCCACCACTTCCTCGAAGAGGCAGCCGCCATGAGGAGCAGCCCGATGGTCTTCGCGCTCGCGGACAGCAACATTCCCTTCGACACCCTGCTGAAGAACTGGCATGGGGAGACCGGGTGCGGCGATATCCGGCGCGATGCGCGCGATGCGGCCATGGCCAGGAAGGACGAAGAGACCTGGCATCCTGACAAGCGCGAGTACAAGCCGAACGAGTGGTATCTCACCGAAGAGTTCATCTCCAACGCAGAGGTCGACAGGTTTCGGAGGGCACCAACTATACACCAACACCGATCCTGGCCCAGGATCACCCTGGGCCCAGGATCGGTGTATATGCCTTCTTGCGCAAGGCAGGAGGGCGTATACACCGATCCTGGGCCCAGGGTGATCCTGGCCAGGATCGGTGTTGGTGTATAGTTGGTGCCCTCCTACAGGTTCAGTCGGGAGCTGAAGTCCCGCAAGTGCCATGGGCTCGAGGAGCACCCCGACGAGCGCGTGCCGGCGAGAGACATCCAGCTGCCTCCTGCAGTTCCGCCGCCGCCGTGCCAGCGCGGCCTCCTGGATGGCGACTGTTCAAAAGGGGGCCCGGGAGGCCGTGAAGGCGTGACACCCCGGGCCTCTCGAAGGCCTTGCGGAGGAGGAGGAGGAGGAGGAGGAGGAGGCGGAGGAGGAGGAGGAGGAGGAGGAGGAGGAGGAGGAGGAGGAGGGGGAGGAGGAGGAGGAGGAGGAGGAGGAGGAGGAGAAGGAGGAGGAGGAGGAGGCGGGGGAGGCGGAGGAGGCGGCGCCTGTTGGGTGCCTCTTGGGGGCTTTTTGTGGGCCTCGTGGGGCTCCGTGGCAGCGCCTCGGCCGGCGCCCTGGAGGCTCTCTTGGGAGGGCTCCTCTGGGCTGGCCTGAAGCGCTCTTGGGCTCCCTGGGCGCGTTCGGGAAGCCGTCTTGTGGGGCTTCGTGGGTCGTCTTTGGGCCCTCTGGGGGGACCCTTGAGGGCCCCGTAGGCCCTACTAGGCCGACTTGGGATACTCTTGGACCGCTCTTGGGCCGTTTTGGAATCCTTTTGGGCCGTCTTGGTGCCCTCCTGATGTCTTCGTGGCCCGTCTTGAGGCCATCTTGGAGGCTTCGTGGGCCGTCTGGAGCTCACGGTAGCCCGAAGAGGTGGGAACACGCAAATCCATTCAACACCGCAGGAGCAATGATTGGCCTCAGGCTCTCTTCGAGCCCTCTGGGGCAGTCTTGAGAGCATCTTGGGCAGTCCTGGGGCCACCTATGGGCAGTCCTGGGGCGACCTCGTGCCGTCTTGGGGGCCTCCTGGGCCACCTCGGTGGCCTTGGCAGCCTGGCCGGGCCGCCCTGGAAAAACCATCCTGGGCAGGCCGGACGCCCTGGAGAGCGTCGGGCGGCGGGGGGGGGTCGGGGCCTCCAGGGGCCCTCGGAGGAGGGGGGCGGTGCACGCAGCAGTCTCCTCCCCCTCCTCCTCCTCCTCCTCCTCCTCCTCCTCCTCCTCCTCCTCCTCCTCCTCCTCTCCTCCTCCTCCTCCTCCTCCTCCTCCTCCCCTCCTCCTCCTCCTCCTCCTCCTCCTCCGCGGGCAGAGGGGGGGGCCGCGGAGGACTGCAAGCAGGCCTGCCGCCAGGCAGCTCTCTCGGTATGCAGCAACGCCTCGGCTTGCCCGGGGGGCGCGGCGGCGGATCTGGCTCCAGCAGACGGGAGTGGCGCCGGCCTTCGAGCGAGCCGGCCACGCCTTCTACCCCGTCGCCGTGGGCGCTGGCACTGCACAGCTGGTTTCGATTCCCTGGTACCAGGAGGAAAAGAAACACACACAGACACAATTTATCGTCGATTCCCCAGAAAATACGGGAAAATATGGGAAGTGAGGGGGGAGACAGAGACCCAGAAAATATAGGAAAATATGGGGAATCTTTTTTCATTTGTGTGTATTTATTTGCGTGTCCTGGGGCCCCTTCAAGGTACCAGGCTCGGGAGAAGGCGTTCAAGTACAACTGGCATCCGGGCCCCCTGGGCCACACCCTGATCGCCTCGTCCATGGCGCACTACATCCTCACCAACCTCCGGAGCGTCCTCGGCGAGGGGCCCGTGCCCAAGCGCATGAAGGGGCCGTCCGCGGACAACCCCCTGGTCGGCAAGCCTATCGTGGGCCAGCTGGAGGAGCCGCAGTGCGGCGCGCTCAAGGCGAACCTCGGCAGCAAATCCTGGGAGCCTTGTATACCCTCGCAAATCTTTCTTTCGAGCGCACTCGCGTCGACTAGCGTCTGGGAATCGATGAGGCAGTGCCGATTCAGCGTCGATCAGTGTCGACTGGTGTCGACTAGCATCGATGAGCGTCGGTTCTCAAGAGCCAGCAAGATGGCTCGGTAGGCTCCCATGAGTTGCTGCAGAAAGGTGAACCAATGCAAGACCGGGATGTTTCCCACCTCCTCGGGCACCGCTCTGGAGGGGGCGCGCCATGCGGACCAGTCTGACGACACCTGGGAATACGGCATCTCCCGGCAGGCCGCGGAGCGGGGCCACGAGGCCGTGGACAAGCGCTATGTCTACAGAGGCAACAAGACATCCGGGGAGCTGAAGCTCAGCTTCCAGGCGCCCAAGGACGGCATGTACGTGGTCCTCTGCGGAGCTCCATGCGGCTGGAGGTGCGATGGCACAGCTGGCTACGTATCCTCGATGTCGCAGCGCTGGTGGCCCGAAGACCTCCCAAAGCGCAAGAGCGTGAGCGACCTGAAATTCTCCATCGACGGCAACGGGATCCGCGACAAGGAGCTGCCCAAGCTGCACGAGACACTTTTCGATAAGGAGACAGGGATTTTCTGCCGGGACTGCACAAACCCTGCGTCACTCTGCCAGCCAGTGGCCAAGGTGGACGCTGGGCCGCACACGGTCGGTGCCAGAGTCGCCCCCAAGAGCTACGAGGGCGCCGATGCCGAGGACACCTTCGTCGAGATCATGGAGCTCCTGGTGGTCGGGTGACCGTCCGCGAGCGCAGTCTTCTCCGGCGCACGCGCACGCCCTTCGGGCGCACCGCCGAGCCCACCTCGTGCCTTGGATCCAAGTGTATCGATCGCCCACCGTGGGCTTGGTAGCAACTCATGGGAGCCTTGTGCGTCCTTCGGAAATGCCGTCGTCAGAGTGTATTCGCGCGCGCTTGAGTCTGACGCTCGATACGAAAGCGCCAACTGAAGTCGATCCAGCGTCGAGCAGCGTCGATTCGCAAGAACCAGCGAGATGGCACGGGAGGCTTTCATGAGTTGCCACGGAGCTCTGGGCGCGTGCCGGGCACGCGCGTCACACAAAGGCCCCCCGCGTCCCGTTCCCTCGCGCGGTGGCGGCCGAACCGTGACAGCGGTCCCTCTGCTCTCCGCCCACTGGAAAACGTTGTATATTACACAGCCGTGACAGCATGTTTTTCTGCTTGCAGTGATGGTATATCCAATCCTTCGTAAGATCCCCATCATGATATGATGACTGCTCGCATTCGGCGGGGCAGCGTCCGATCCGCATGATTTCGATCACTCTGTTACTTCAAAGCCGTATCGGAAACTGCCAAACGCTATGAGTCATCGAGCGGGATGTGCCCACGCGCGGAGTAGCTGGAGCACTTCCACTCCGAACTACTCCGCGCTGATGCGCTATAGGCGAAGGCAGATTGAAAGAACCTCTCGTCACGGCGATGTATGGGCGACGGGATGTGCCCACGCGCGGAGTAGCTGGAGCATTTCTACTCCGAACTACTCCGCGCTGATGCGCTGTAGGCGAAGGCAGATTGAAAGAAACTCTCGTCAGAAGCCTATCCACATGCATGCCCTCGCGATGTGGACGCCGAGGCGGGATCCCATGGGGTACGCTCCGCGCGGTCCAGCCGCACAGCGCCGCCATGTAGCCATGCACGAGGCCGCGGCCGGGGGGGTCTAGAGCTCGAAGCCGTGGGTACGGACATGTCTTCACGAGTGTGGCAGCAATGCTGCACCCCTGGCGCATGTCGGTCAAGGCTAGGTTCAAGAGCGCTCGCATTGTAGAGGTCTCGGGGCAGAGAGCGCGCAGGAGGCGGAGGAGGGCCCCCTCCTCCTGCTCTCCTTGTTCTTCCTTATGCCACCTCGTCCCCCCTTCTCCTGCACGATTGGGCGCGTTGCAGCCAGGCGGGACCCGCTTCCTCCACCCGTGGCGTACTCCTTACCCCTCCTCCCACCCACGCACGCTCCAGCGCGTGCGGGCGTACAAGGAGACGAGGCAGGAAGGCGGGAGAGAAGGAGGACGGGATGTAGTGGAGAAGGACGTGGAGGAGGACGTCGAGGAGGAGGAGGAGGAGGAGGTCTTGGAGATTTCGGCTGCGACGACCTCGAAGCGGCACCACCTCGAGAGAGAGCTTGCAGGAGGCCACGCGAGGATGGAATGATGAGTGGGGGGGGAGGAGAAGGGCCGTCGCATTTTTTTTGTTGTGTGTGTGTGTGTGTCTGACTGTCTGGCCAATCGTCCTCCTGCCCCATCCGCTCTCCTGGCCAATGGGCGGGGCCAGCCTCCTGTTCCTCGGGCGCCAGCTCCTGGGCTTTGCGCTGGAGGTGGCGGTGGAGGTGGGCCTGTTTTCCACAACCACCACCATGAGTTGGAGGGGGGAGGGGGTCCTCCTCCCCCTCGTCTTCTTCTTCTTCTTCTTCTTCTTCTTCTTCTTCCCCCTCCTCTCCTCCTCCTCCTCCTCCTCCTCCTCCTCCTCCTCCTCCTCCTCCTCCTCCTCCCCCAACTTATGATGGTGGTGGTGGAAAACAGGCCCATGGTGGAGGTACACAGGCTTCGCGAATGAATGGGCCCCTTGGGATGCCTCCCGCTTAGGATTAAGTCGGGCATGTGCCGCTACAGGAGGATAATGTCCAATAATAGTTAAAACACAGTGCGGGGACGATGTTTCTATGATTTGTTGACTGCTTCTGGGCATGGTTTGACTAGTTTGATTTCCCGTTTTAAACCCGCCTGTAGGAGGACATGCCCGACCTAAGCTTAGGAGGACGTTCCGTCGGGTGCGGGTTCCAGGCCTAAGACATTTGGGAGGGCAGGCTGCTGCAAGTCCCCTTCGGCAGTAGACTCTGAGAGCCTGCCGCGATTTGTGCAGGCCAGAACACAATGTTGCCCCTCTGCGGGGCTCTGAGGCATACAGGGCGTTCCCCTTGAGGATTGAGACACGCTGCCCACATCGCCGATGCATCGCCGATGCGGCTCGATTCGGAGCCCGACTTACTTCGCGCCGACGTCGCCGATGCATCGCCGACGTCGACGACGCATTGCTGGTGCATCGCCAATACATCGCCGATGCATCGCCGATATATCGGCGATGCGGCGCGATCATCCGACCCCATCTACTCCGAGGCTTCCAGTTGTACAGGGCCCTGCGGGGTGACCACTCCTGTAAGGCCCGAGGCTGGGCGACTTCATGCATGTGTGCGGGCTACGTCCACGTTTAGCATGGCCCCGTCGAGGCCCATCTCGTGGGCCGCAGCTCTGAGGAGGCTCTCTTCGCAAGACTCGCTGAGGAGGTCCCGAAGCAGGCTGAGGGAGGCGCTGGTGAGGACGTGTGGATTCCCCTTATCTCAGGAGGGAAAGAAACACACAGACACCATTAATTGGCGATGCCCTCGGAAATATATGAAAATATGGGAGGGGGGGGACGAGAGAAGCCCAGAAAGTATGGGAACATATGGTGAATCTGGTTATTTGTGTGTATTTATTTGTGTGTCCCAGGGCCCCTTCATTATCACCCTGAACCTGACACACGGAGAGGAAGGCCCACGTGGCCCCCTGGAGGCTCGGGGACGCCTCGCCCAGAGGGGGCCCTGCAACCGCTCGAAGCCCTGGGCGGTCTGCTCAGTACGACTGTGGCCGTTCTGCGGAGGAGGAGGAGGAGGAGGAGGAGGAGGGACGAGGAGGAGGAGGAGGAGGAGGAGGAGAAGGAGGAGGAGGAGGGGGCACGAGGAGGAGGAGGAGGAGGAGGAGGAGGAGGAGGAGGAGGAGGAGGAAGAGGAGGATGGGGAGGACGGATAGAGACAGGAGGAGGCGGAGGTCGAAGAGGAGGAGGAGGAGGAGGAGGAGGAAGAGCCCGAGGTGTGAAGCCGTCCGTGTGCGTGCCCGTGGCCGCCCTGCAGACGAGCTGGCTCCATGGCAGAACTGGTCCCCAAGTGCTGGTCGGCAGCACGGGTCCCCGAGAGCGCAGGGAGAGATAGACTGCGAGATCTCGTGGCCGTGCTGGAGCGGCAGGGCCGTGCGGGGGTCAGCAGTGTCAACGCCGGCGACCTCCGCACAATAGAAGTGCGCTTGGCTAACACCCGTGTAGTAGAGCTTGTCAGCGCCCCCTATGGTCTTCTTGAGGCTGGCGGGTCTGCGGGCTCTGTTCTGCCGCTTGTTGTGTCGAGCCCTCAGGGGTTGTTTGGATATGCCTCGTTTCCTGGCCCATCCAAACCGAAAGTCGATTCCCAGGTTTGGGGCAACGACGACCTTCTTCTGGGGGGCCGCATACTTGGACGCGAGGCTCTTTTGTGCGTCCCGGGGCGAAGCCAACACAGCACGCTTCTTTTCTGCAATCTGACACTGAAGATCCTGTTTGATGGTTGCCAGGCGCTGCAAGCACGCGTCTAGGAATCACTTCACACATTGCTTCCTGCACTTGCGGAACAACTGGAGCAGCAGACCGTCTATAAACAGGCTGAGCAGGATCTCTGGATGCGACTCAACCTCATGTCTCTGGAGGCTGCCTGCAGTATACTGGCACGAGGGTTGCAGCGAAACCGCAGCCCGCTGGGATGTCTCGGAACGGAAAACAAGCAGCAGTGCTGGACGAGCTGGCCGTAGGTTAGGTATCTGGCTGGCACTGGTTTAGCACGACGGCTGGGCTGGCCCCGTTGTACCCGCTGCTGCTTGCTCTGCTGTCTAGATCTGGTCTGCTGATGTTCTCGTAGTAGTAGGGCATGTCCTCGAATGCGATCCCTGCGTGACGATGGCCCCTTTCCGAAGTCTGGCACGAAGACGTCGAAGGCTGCATCTGGGGCTCGGCGACTCTGCTACTCTGTGATGCTGCTGTCCTGCGTAATCTGCTGGAGCTGCTGCACTGGTGCGGCTGCTCGGGCCCACTCCGGGGGGCGCCCGTGCCGGTCCACAGGGGCGCCCGCAGGGGAGCTGCGGGGGCCCCGGCGGGGCGAGGCAGCATGCGCTCTTCTCCGCTCTCGCTGTCGGCGGCGACAGGCCACTGCGGCGAGATGGGGCAGCTCGACAGGACCTGCACCGATGCCAGCCCAGCATCAGCGCCTGCGCCTACGCCGGCAACAACGCAGGCGCCTACACCAGCACCGACGCCAGCACCGACGCCAGCACGAATGCCAGCACCTACACCAGCGCCGACGCCGGCACCGACGCCAGCGCCCAGGTGGGCCGTGTGGCTCGCAGCTGCTCCAGGGGCTATCGCTGGCGCCTGTGCCGGAGCCGGCGCAAGCACCGACGCCAGCATCAGTGCCTGCGCCTGACGCTGGCGCCAACGACAGCGCCCGCCGCAGCACCGACGCCAGCACGGACGCCAACACCGACGCGGGCGCCTACGCCAGCACCGACGCTACCGCCGACGCCAGCGTACAGGTGAAAAACAAAAAAGCTCACCGGTGCTCCAGGAGCTGCCGCGGGCGGCGACGCCAACGCCGACGCCAGCAGCGACGGCCAGCAGCAACGCCTGCACCTACGCCGGCCCCAATGCAAGCGCCCGCAGCAGCGCCGACGCCAACGCCGACGCCACCACCGAGGCGAGCGCCCCAGTGAGCTGTCCGGCTCACTGGCGTTCCAGAAGCGAACGTTGGCGCCTACGCCAGCGCCAGCGCTCCCACCGACGCCAGCACCAACACCAGCACGGGGGGATGTGACAGGAAAGCTTTACGATTTCTCTGTTGGGCTGCTCGGGCATATCTGTTGTCGTACAGCAAATGGGCGTTGCGGCACCAGCATCGTTTTCAGCACCAGCGCCATCATCGATACCAACATCGACGCCAGCATCGACACTAGCATCGGCACCAGCATCGGCGCCGGCACCGACCCCGACAGCGACACCAGCATCGACACCAGCATCGACATCAGCAGCGACGCCAACATCGACACCGGCACCGACGCGCGATCTGCCAGAGCAGCAGTACGGGGAACAACGCCCCCATGGTTCAGATATTCGCTACTGGGACGGGGGGCGGGACAGCAGTGGCAGACTGCCGCACGACACCGAGCAGCAGCCCGGCTCTGTCATCCAGTAGTTCAGAGGGTGTGGAATTCTCAGGGCCCGCCGGTCAATCACGATTCGGGCGCCCGCCCACCTCTGCCCCTCGCTTCCGCGGGGATGGGCGCTTCGCGTGGACGCGCCGCGGGTATGATAAACACTCACACGTTGGTCAGTTTGCCTTGGTCCCGCGCGAAGCTGCTCGCGTAACTCTAGGGTGTTTGGCCTGCCAGTGGAGCCCTTGGATGTGACCTAGCGCCCATTCTGCGTTCCTTCCCCGCCACCTGTCCTTTCCTCATCTTTTCGCGTTATCCTCCTCTTCTTCATGGCATTATGTTGTGTTGGACTTCTTGGCGTGGCCGTTTGGTCCACCTTGTCGGGGTATACCCCAAATTCTGAGCAGCCGCGGGGTCGATACGTGTCCAAGGGGATCCGTAGCATTGGCTTTTTCTGCTCCTGCCCGAGCCCGGGGCCATTGCCGATTTTCGGGGACGTGGCTCAGCCCCCTGGTTCGTGTTACTCCTTCCTCCTCCTCTGACCGCTCGCCCGGGCAACAATTGTCACATGTGGCTCCTTTTGTTTGCGTCTGTCTGTTCATGGGGCAGGATTTGTCCGCTCCAGTCGGCGCCTGCAGTAAGCAGCTCCGTGTGCGTTGCGTGGCCCGACTCATTTCTGGCCGGAGTTTTGATCACGTTCGCAGGACAGCCCTGCGACGAACATGGAAGTTGTCGGGACGCTCAGCAAGGCGAGATGTGTATACTGTCGTTGTCCGCTCCCATCTCCTGCTCTTCACAAAAGATCAGAGGCCCCTATAAGGATTCATTCCCACTGAGGGAACTGTCTCGTTGGGACGCAACCGTTTGAAGACCATGAAGCGTGCCAAAACAACATTCTCGAGACTTCAACGCCACGAATCAACCTGACTGTTGCGTCTTGACGATCCTGAATCGCACCAGAATGCCATTCCTGGGACTGCAACACCGCGAGCCCATGTAACTGTTGCGCCCTGACAATCCTGCATTTCTCCCAAACGCCGTTTCTGGTACGTTCGCCATGAGAACCAGTGAAACTCCTACAATGTATTAAGACGAGGGCGCGCAGCGCCGAGGCGAGAATCACATTTTGAAAAGGAGCCGCCCTCAATCCTCAAAGCTTCTGCAATGTTTGAAACGGATGCGTGCGCCGCTCAGGCGAGAGCCACGTTTTGAAAAGGAACCGCTCTCAATCCGTGAATTGCTTGCACATGTTTTAGACAACTGTGCGGCACGAAGGCGAGAGCCACACTTGAGAGCGACCAACCGCGATCCTTGAACATCTTGCGTCTTTCTCAAGACGAGCGCGCGCGGCGCCAGGGCGAGAGCCACATTTTGCAAACCACCCTCCCTGAATCCGGGAATCTGTTGCCATTTTTACCATAGCTGCACGCGGCGGTACGGCGAGGGCCACATTTTGACAATGACCCACCCTCAATCCGTGAAAGTCCTGCAAGCGTGTGAGGCGAATGCGCGCGGCGCTAAGGCGAAAGCCACATGTTGAAAACCACCCGCCCTCCGTTTGTGAAACTGTTGCCAATTCTTACGCTTCAGGATCATCAACGGTAAGGGGGTCTCCGGCGAAACGCACGGCCCGCCCTCCGACTGGCCTCGGGATGCCACGTGGAGGACCAGAGTAAGTTCAAATACTGTCGACGATGTTGCATCGCACCCTTCCGTCCCAAGTTCACTCTTCAGGAGTCCTTGCACTGATTCTTTTCCAGTGCGCGACGCGCCCCCTTGCAAGGCAGTGCCCCGTGGGCCCATGATGAAGGTGGGAGTTCCGTTTTGAACCAGGGGTGCCTCCACCCATCCAGCCATTATCAACGCGACAAGGCGGGAGTACACGAGTTCGGAAAGGGTCCAGCCACAGCCCTGTTCTGAGAAGGACTCGCCATTCATCCGTGTTGCTGCTGCACACTTCCTTGACTTCCTTGACTGCTGGACATGCAGGCTGAAGATGTCTCATGCGATCCGCTCCCCTCGTTGCCCTCTCCTCAAGGAGGGTGCGCTGGCGGCGTCGCCAGCCGCCCTCGTCGCCCGGGGACCGCTGCAGAGCCGCGGCTTCGGGGACGAGCTCGGCGCCCTCCACGCCTCAAGGAGTTTGTCGTAGTCGTGGGAGGAGTTGCAGCAGCAGGAGTCGGAGGAGAAGGCAAAAGGGGGGGAGCAGGATGAGCAGGGGGAGTAGGAGGAGGAGGAGGATGGCGGAGGAGGAAGAGGAGCAGGAAGGGAATTGGAGGAACAAGTAGAGGGCGCTTGAAGGATACGGAGGAGGATGGGGCGCGAAGATGAGGAGGAGTGTGTGTGGGGAGGTTGAAGAGGAGAAGGCGGAGGCGGAGGATGAGGAGGCGGAGAAGGAGGACGAAGAAGAAGAAGAGGAAAAGGAGGAGGAGGAGGAGGAGGAGGTTGAGGAAGGAGGGGCAGTAGGAGGAGGAGTAGGAGGAGGACTATGAGGAGGAGATGAGAAGGAGGAGGGGGGAGCGAGGCGGGGGGTGGGAGGAGCTGGGAGGAGGACGAGGAGGAGGAGGAGGGGCGGGGGGGAAGAGGGGGGAAGCGAGAGGATCAGGAGGCAGGATGATGAGGAGCAGGATTACAGGAATGACACCTCTAGGAAGTTGGCGAGGGAGGATGAGGACTGGAGGAGAACGACCTTCCACCACTTCTAGCTTCCTCTGCAATTATCTGCCCTCCTTCCTCCCTTTCTCATCCCCCTTTTCCCCTTCTCCTCGTCCTCCTTTCCCCCTCTCCCTTCCTCCTCCTCCTCCTCCTCCTGACAAGCTGACGAGCTGGTGGTCTGAAGATCCCACGGACGTGACCCCCCCCCCTGAAGGGGGGCAATCAAACGAAAAAGACCGGCGACCTTAGAGGTCGAAGCTGTGGCGCTGGCGGAACGGGGGCCGACGAAGACAGGGAGACGAGGCACCGAGAGGGAGAGGACGAGAGGGGCCCGAGCCGAACCACGACGGAGGAGGGCAGCAGAAGGAAAATTTGCAGAGCGGCGTGTTCCGGCCGTGGGTGTCTGCTCCTCCTCCACCTCCCCTCTCTCTCTCTCTCCTCGCCGCTCCTCCGCGGGGGCGCTGCAGCCGCGGACCGCGGCTCCCCCCCCCCGTGGCGCCGCCGAGCTCCGCTCCCCCTCGTTGGAGGGCGGCGCGCTCGCCCTTCAGCCCGGCGACGGCGGTGGGGGCGGCCGCGCTCCTGGGCGCCCGAGCCCGTGGCATCGGTGGTGGCTCCCGCAGCCCAGGTGGCCGAAGGCGTGCTGGTGATGCCCGTAGCCCACGTGGCCGGAGGCGTGCCGGTGGTCGAAGTCGCACCGGTGGCTCCTCCCACGGGTGGCTCCTCCTCCACCCTCCGGCGTACTGTTTCTGGATGTGCGGCGAGAGTGATTCGAAGCAGCGCTGCGCGTCCAGTGCCTGGGCGGGATCTAGAGACTCAGCGATGATCTGTAGTTCGCATTCGTCGGTTGCCTCAGCTAGTCGCTGTTCGAGGTCTTGAAAGAAGGCCTGCCAGGGCTGGTGGGGAGATGTACTCCCGACAGTGGTAGGTGGGGAATCTTCACCACCTATGGCTGGTACTGCTAGGCCTGGCGGTCCTTCGGTCTTGTGCAGAGCAACGGTGAACGGACTGGCTCCGTATGGCAGGCCGTTGATGCGACCCGCAGCCTTTCCGGCGTCTTCGTCGCAACTGTAACATATTGCGCGAGGCATGTGCTTCTCGAGGACCGTGGATGAATCTTCGGCCTTGCTGCCCAGCGGCAGCCTCCTCGTAGTAGCGGTCGTGGTTGTCCACGGGGTCGTCCTTAGCTTGCGTGACCTTCTGCGGTTTCGCGGCCTTGTCAGCGAGCTTGACGACGTGAGGTTGATGCCTGGGTCGACGGACGTGTCCGTCGAAGTAGGGGAGGGCGAAGAGGCGGGCCGACCGCCCCTGATTTCACTTACCCCTCTGCGACGGAGGGGCAGCAGCTGGGGGACGAGTCGGTTAGCTTTGCACTTCTCTCCTCTACCTCCTCCTTGTAGTTGGTGTCGGCGCAAGAAATGTTGGCGCCAGAACGACGAAGCCGTGGCACAGACGGAGGCGCAGGACGTGTTGACGGAGTGGTGGCAGGGCTCGGTGACGCAGGTGGTGGCGGTGGCCACAACGAGGACGCGGGTCGGGAACCAGAATTTGATGCGCAGTTTCTTTGCTGCTTTCGGTGACGCAGGCGGTAGCAGGGCTCGGTGTCGGTGCAGGCGATGCAGACGATGGTCCTTCTCTTCCTCTGGGTCCAGAGCTTCCTCCGCCAGGCAAGCCTCCATAGCCAGGTCCTGGGCTTCCTCCACCAATTTTGACCTGCACCGCCACCCCGTCCTCATACAGCTCCTCCGTCGCCTCCTCCTCCTCCTCCGGGTCCAGGGCCGCCTCCGCCAGGCAGACCTCCACCATTGGGCCCATCACCTCCACGTCGGAGAGATCCTCCTTGGCCTGGTAGTCACGGTGCACCGCGGTGGCGCGCACGGCCTCCCGAGCGGCTTCCTCGATGGCGAGCGGGAGCGGGTAGGCGACGGCGGGCTTGACGTAGCCGCGGCGTGGGTGTCGGTTCGGGCGGTGGTGCTGGCGAAGGCGCAGGCGGACGCGCCAAAGTGAGTTTAATGCGGTGACGCCCAACTCCTGTTGCTTTGTGATGCTCGTGGGCCGCGGCTGGCCTCAGCGCGCTGCCTGGTCGTGGCCTCCCGACTGCACCCAGGGCCCCCCAGGATGCCGGAACCTTTGGGCACAGGGGCTCTCGGGCAGCGCTCTGGGCCGCCACGGCTGTACCAGAGGGCACGTACGTCTCCGCCTTCGGGCTCAGCTGAAACTCGGTGTTGGTGATGGCGCTGACGCGGTCGACGGTGCTGACGTCGACAGTGTTCCAGTCATGGTCGTGGCGATGATAGCCAGGTCCTTGGCTGCGGCGGTTTGGCCCTTCCTGGCCGCGTACGCCAGTCGGCTCTTTGCCGCAAGTACCGGGTGCCGTTCAGCTTCGGCATCTCCGCGGACTCCTCCATCGCTGGTGTGTCTCGGCTGTTGCTTGCCGGTCGGAGCCTCGTAGGTCTCGTAGCTTTCCAGCAGTGGCGAAGCGTCCTGGCTCGCGTATAGCCCTGCCAAACAATGTTCTAAGAACCTTTTGTGGTTTCCACGAAATGTTCTTAGGACATTTCTGGCGGAGTCTGTCTTGATTTAACACATCGGGTTTATGTTCTAGGAACCTTGTTTTTGCTCTTAGAACATTTTTGTGTTCTAAGAACATTTCGTGGTAGGACTATAGGAATGCCGGGACGGTCGGTCCCTGCTCAAAGCTTCTGGCAGTGCCAGGACCCGGGGCAGGGCACAGGGGGGCGCAGAAGGCCCCCCTGCTGTGGGCCAGGCTGCGGGTGCCGCACGGGGGGCGCGGGCGCCCGCGATCGCGCGGGCCGGGCGCCGCGCTCGTCGCCGCTCGTGGGAGGCCGGGCCCCCGTCCGGGCGCGGGGGGGTCCCCCGCAAAAGGCGATTTCCTCCTCCTCCTCCTCCTCCTCCTCCTCCTCCTCCTCCTCCTCCTCCTTTTCCTCCCCCCTCCTCCTCATTTCTTCCTCCTCCTCCTCCTCCTCGTCCTCCTCCTCCCTCTCCTCCGTAGCTATTTTGGCTCAAGCCACCGATGACCCATCGGTAGTGTGCTGCAAGTGTGCACCATCGAATGCTGGCGCCTCCCTCCTTCATATCTCATGCCTGGACGCCGCTCCTTGGCTAGCCGCGCGGCACGCCATGCTCGGGCGGAGGAACGCGGCTTTCTTCAACCCCCTCCAGGCCCTGGACTACGATGGCTTGCCGTCCCACTGTTCCTGAAGCAGTCGGCGGCGAAGGTGATTCACTCCATGGCGCTTCACGCCATCGATGATCGTCACGCACCTGATCTTAATCACTTCGCTCGCGGGGCTGCTGCTGGCGCGGAATTGCCTCCCGACCTTCGTCAGCGTCTCCGAGATCATCGAGATGCCAATCGAGCCAAACATCAAGCTGGTTGTCTCGTACAGGAAGCGCGTGCTGATGTGCCTGCTGCTCTCCACCCGTGGCTGCCTCGTCGGCTTCTGGCGCACCTCCGGCCTACAAGAAAGTGGACACCGACAAGGCCAGCTCCCTGGACACCGTCTCCATGTCAAAGGTGACTTCTGGCGATGATCGCCCACGCGATGATGCTGTGCTTCATTCTGCTTCCTTCTTGACCGTGCTGCGGGCGAGGCTCGAGACGTTGGAGTACGCGCTTGCCGAGAGTGAAAAACAACGGCGATATGACCAACTCGCTATCGACTGCCTCCTTAAGAAAGTCCAGAACCAAAACGCCGACTTCAAGCAGGTATTGGCCGACATCATCTCCGCGGCCGAGCACCAGTTCGACACCATCGCGGACCAGCTGGGCACCAAGCAGGCCTCGCTGATGAACGACGCCATGGCCATCATCCACAAGTCCGTGATTGCCCCTGCTGCCGACCTCCAGAGCGACAACGCCCGCGACCAGCTCACCGCCAAGGACGAGAATGCTACCATCTCCGAGCACCAGATCGCCTACGTCAGGGGCCAGATCACCGCCAAGGGCGAGTCCGACATGATCGAGCTCGGTACTGTCGGCCCGTTTGTCGGCGACTCCTTGAACGACCTCTCGTTTTTCGTGCTCGAGCTGATATGGAGTACCAGCGCTGCGGAGTGTGTTGATTGGCCTGATCAAACTCCGTCACCAAGCGAGTTCTCCGATGAGATGGCAGATGCCGTGATGAATCCCTCCGCCGACCCTGGTTCGAAGCTGACCGACGACCAGCAGTGGCTCCTCCAGTGCGGCATGTTGGACATGCTCGGGGTGTTTGATGCGTGCGAGTGTGACACGATTGACGACATGTACGACTTCCTCAAGGGCCGACTGTGCGACATGTACGAGTCCGACTGGTCGCACTCTGGGCTGGATGGCGACTCTTTCGAGTGCGACTCCAGCGAGCCCTGACCCCTACGCCTCCAAGTACTCCAACTACATCAACTACGACTGCGACCCGAGTCGCCAGGCCGCCGCGCGCCCGCGGTAGCCGCCCCGAACGGGACCGATTGTTTTCGTTCGCTCCTCCTCCCTCTCCTCCTCCTCATCCTCCTCCTCCTCCTCCCCGCGCGGGGCCATGTCTGCGGCCCTGGTGCGCAGAGCATGGCATATGCACTCCTCCCATAGCAGAGGTTCGCCGCGCCACTTGCCTCCAGTCAGCCTTGAATGTTCAGGGCCCACTGTTGCGCCTTTTTGAAGATCAGTGAGTACAGCTCTCACTGGACAATCAGACATCATGGTATCAAGGGCGTGCGCATCCGCGTCCTCGTCCTTCCGTCCTCCTCCTCCTCCTCTTCCTCTTTTTCTCCTACATTATCCTTTTCCATCTCCTCCTCCTCCTTCTCCACCTCCTCCTTCCTCTGTCCTCCCTCTTCCTCCTCCTCCTCCTCGGGCCCCCCCCCCCGCCCCATCCCGCGCCTTCCCCTCCTGCTACGGTCGGGCCTGTCCACCTCCGCCCCCCTACGCGCTTTGCCACCAGACCTGTTCGCGACTTTCTGTGGCGCAGAGCTCCCCACGGGCCTTCGTCCATGACCTGGCGACCACCTCCTCCTCCTCCTCGTCCTCCTCCTCCTCCCCCTCTTCCTCCTCATCCTCCTCCTTCTCTTCCTCCGCCTCCTCCTCCGTTTCCTCGTCCTCCTCATCCTCCTCATCCTCTCCCACCTCCTCTTCGCTTATTCTCCTCCTCGCCCCTCCTCACCTCCAATCCTCCTCCTGCTCCTCCTCCTCCTGCTCCTCCTCCTGCTCCTCCTGCTCCTCCTCCTCCCCATCTTCCTCCTCCTCTTCCTGTTTGCCCCCTCCTCCTCCTCCTGCTGCCCCTCCTCCTCCTCCTCCTGCTCCTCCTCGTCCTCCTCCTCCTCCTCATCCTCCTCTTCCTCACTTCCTCCCCCTCCTCCTCCTCCTCCTCCTGTTCCTTCTCCTCCTCCTCCTCCTCCTCCTCCTCCTCCTCGGGGAGATCCCCCCCCTCCTCCTTCCCGCGAATTCCCGTCCCTCCTGCTACGGTGGGGCTGTCCACCCCATCCCCCCCCGTGCGCCCTGCCACCATGCCTGTTTGCGACCTTTTGTGGCCCAGAGCTCCCCCCTTGGGCCTTTGTTCATGACCTGACGACCTCCTCATCATCCTCCTCATCCTCGCCCACCTCCTCCTCCTCATCGCTCCTCCTCCTCCTCCCGCCCCCTGCTCATCCTACGCTCCTCTCCTCCCCCGCTTCTTCTCCTTCTGTATCCCCTCCTCCCCGTTACCCAGCATTCCGCAGAGTTTCAGGATGTTGGTGACGGCGACTACTTGACTGGCGGCGTCATCGATGCCCCGCCGGGGGATAGATAGCCATGCTGTGAATCGGGGACACGCTGCCCGGCCGCGCTCTCCTGTCGCACCCCCTCCCGCCCCATTTTCCCGTTACTCCTCCCGCCCCCCTCCCTCCCTCTCCTTTCGTGGCGCTTGGCCCCTCCCTCCTCCCTCCTCCCCCCTCCTTCCTCCTCCATTCGAGCGGGAGCTCCCCTGTGCTTTGCTGGGTGCAGGGAAGGGCGTCCCGCCGCCATGTCAGGGATCCGTTTCGACACCCGCCTTAGTCGCGCATTGTACAAGCCGCTTCCAGGGCGTCGAACGCCACAGTCCTGTCGATAGCGCGGGCAGACCGTCTGAGCGAGGTGTTCCACAAGCGGCACGTGCAGGCGTATACAAAAACATGTTCTCTGCCAGACAGGATCCATCTCAGATCTGTAGTATGTGCAACCGGGACAGACGCGGCAAAGCAATGGCATTTGGTCCAGAGGCGCGGCCGCGCAAAGTTGCAATGTGTTCAGTGTGCTCATAAGTAAATGCAGCAAGTTTTTGCGGTAGCAGACCATGCCAATTCCCCCATCTTGTCCTTGTCCTCCTCTCCCTCTCCTCTTCCTTGTTCGCAGGGGATCGATTCTTGCTTCACAGTCGTGATGCGCCCTGCACTTCTGCTTCACAGTCGGGCGTTCTGTCGTTATGTGTCCGTTTCGCAATCGACTGGCCGCGCACGTCTTGCCGGAAAACCCGGGCTCAGTGGCGGCAGTCGTGCCCAAGCGCCGTGCCTAGGGTTGGCGCATGGGTTTTGTATTTTTGTTTGCAGGCCGCCTCATTCCGCGCATTGATACCACTTTCCATCCTGATCGTGTGTCTCGGGCTGGTAGCAGAGCTTCAGCCCCGCGATCCACTGCAGCCATGGCCCGCGTGACCTCCTCCTCCCGCCCTGCATCAACTACACCGGCTTCCGCTCTCCAGCGCCTTTTTTTAACATCTTCGTGTACATCATCAGCAAGGACCTCGCTTTCGAACTCTTCGCCACATTCCAGCCAGTCCAAAGGCTGGATCGCCTTCGCGTGGCTCTACCAGTTTTTCGCGACGAGGGAGCCGCACCCGTACATCTCCGAAAACATGAACTCCAAAAGCCGCGTCCGTGCGCCTCCCTTCCCAGCGCCTTCCTTCGGGTTTGCCTGAGTATGTCTGAGCAGTTCGCGGACCCAATGCCACCAGTGCGTTCGCATGCGGGTGTGCGTCGGGTCCCGAGCTCCCTGCGTGCCCTCATTGCACCCGCCCGTGGGTGTAGACGAAGGTCTGACAGTTGATCGCTTCGTCGTTGACATGTTTCCGGTGTTTCCTATTCGACAACAGCGAGAGCTAACAGGCGATATCTTGCCTTGGTCGGGGGAGACTGAAGCAGAGAAAAAGACAAGATGATGGAGGGCCTGGCCATTGCCTGGTCAGCATCCCGGGGAGGCCGCACAACGAACCTTGGACCATTCGCCTTCGATGTGTCGGAACTGGACCTTCTGCATTACACACGCACTCCTTGCTACCTGGTAGACTTGGATCCCGATGCATAACTACTCCTCTTGACGATCGTACAGCTAGTGGTCCCCAGTTCAGTGAGTACGTGACGCACGACGAGCATTTCTGTGACTATGTTTTGGGATGCTCCGCGTTCCGGTCGCACCTCAAACATGCGTCATAACAACATGCCCAATACGCTGACGAGGAGGAGCCGGGACATATCCAAGGAGGCTTTTCGGCAGTCTACCAGTGAATCGCCGCTGGTGGGCTCCAGGACTCTAGCCTCTCCTCGATACTCGAAGGGGACTACATTCCCGATGGACTGCAATCGGAATAGGCACATTCGCTGCCACCAGCCGCATCGCTTGCATCGGCGCTGGCGGCAGCGATGGCGGCCACATGCGACACCTATATACCTGGGGTCCCGAACAGCAAGCCTGCGTGCCTTTCCAACGCTGGGTGCGGGAGGTCATGATCTGGTCAGCGGCGGACTCCAACTTCAACGAGTTCCGCCAAGCGGGCTACGTCTCGTCCCGCCTCACTGGCATGGCGCAGGAGTGCGTAGACGAATGGCCGCCAGCTGCCCTGATCCAGGGAGGTCATATCAATGGCAACCCACTGCCGCCCATGATTTTCCTAACGCACAGCATGTCCGAACGGCGTGACCAGCTGGGCGAGGAGTGGCGCGCCCAAGCGGTATTGGCCCTGATGCGCTCCAACCGGTTGCCAAAGAAGCCCATCGAGAACCTCTTCACCAGAGTCGACATTTTCCGCAACAGTGCGCAGCAGGCTGGTCGATTCATGATCGGCTACGAGGGACTCGGCTACCTCTTACTGCGCGCGTTGGGCGTGTCGAACATCCAAGCCACCATGATCTTGCATCACTACAGCATGGCTTACCCCGCGAACGCCTAGCAGCCGTTGCACATTATTGGCCAGTTGCGACGGCTTGGGCGCATCTCGCCGGGCAACCTCGCCACGGCCGCTCATTCGACCCAGCGCCACGCGTTCCTCAAGGGTACGCCCGCGCAAAATCAGGCCCAGAGTTCCTATAACGCGGCGGCCAGATCGAGCTTGGACGGCATGGGGCCCGCTACCTTGGGAGCGGCACTGAGTCCACCTGGAGCATCAGCCGCCGCCGACGCCGGCATGGCATCCTCAGTGCAGGTGGCATTCCCAGCAGCAGGTGTCGATTCAGGCGCCGAATCCGACACCGTCAGCGCATTCGGCTCGAAGAGACATTGCTACCGACGACCCCTTGCTACGCGACATTCCAGTGGAACAACGCGGTGCACACCTTGGGCCACTATGCGCACACAGCGACGGGTCGTCCAAGCAGGAGGAGGAGATAGGCTTCGGCACAACGGGGGCCGTATTCATGCGTCTGGGTAAGTGCAGCAGCACGGGCAAACAGGTATGCCTTTTGCTCGACGCCATGAGCCGATCGCGCAATCTGGCGTACCGAGCATAATTTGGCCGAGTTGGTAGTCGACCGCGCGTCCGTCTTTTCGGCCCTGGCTGCGGATCCTGTTCGGCCCCTATTGGAGAACAGCACGGTCGGATATCTTTCTGGTGGTTGTCAGATCAGCTTCGCGCCGTGCAGATCGACGAAATCCTGTGGTGTGACACCAGGGCACCAGAGACATGAGAGCCGACCCCATGACGAAGGAAAACACCGGCCGAGACCTCATCCTGAGCATCATTGACAACCAGCTCAACTACGACCACAACACGATGAAGCTGAGCGGGGATCAGCACAAGAAGGCCGTGCCAAGCTCGCAACACATGGATCTCGCAATCAGGAAGAAGGGCGAGCCGAATTATTGAACAATCGGGCGCTCGCGGACGACGCTCACGAACGCGACTTCCGGTGCATGCATTTTTGTGTCCCGGCGGGCGCCGAGCTAACAGGTGACATGCGGGTTTGGCGAACGCCGAGTTAACAGATGACAGACTGTCCCGGCGAGCCGCGGACCTAACAGGTGACAGGTTGTCCCGGCAAGCGGCCGAAAATGGTGAAGCATGCAAGGTGAGATGTTTGTTGCTTGCACGAACCATGTTAGTGGAGCAGTAAATGAGGCGACAGTTGAGCATGCTAACTTAGTGGTGCCACCTCCGGCAGCCATGTTTTTGGAATGGCCGTGTACTCCATGTAAGAGTCTACGTCCGCTCACAGTCTGCTAGGGGTGTGGTCAGCAGAACCCCCTGCTCTGCGCCTGTGGTCGCCTCGAACTGTTTAATGCAGCCGTGCTGTTGTGCTTCGGGGGTGCTGGGTGGTTTGCGCCAGGAATGCCACCGAGGCACGACGGACGCGTTTGAGCATTGATTCGAACGGGAAGTCTCCTATGCTTTGTTGGGTACAGGAAAGAGCTTTCCGCACCCACTTTAGGGATCCCTTTTTTTTCCACGCCCGCATTATGCGCGCCTTATACAAACGGTTTTTTTTCCGCACACTGAAAAGTACCACCTCTTACCCTTCCTCCTCCCCTTTTCCGTCCTCCTCCCCTGTCTCTCCACCGTGCGGTAGGGGCCGGCTGCGTTGCAGAGGCCTGCGTTCAACCCCCTTCGGCGGCATTGGTTGCGTAGTCCATCCAAGTGTGGTTCCTGCTCCCCACGAGTCAGCATATCCAGCGAAGGAAACGATGAAGAGAAACTGGGGAAAGGGGAAGAGGGGGGGCGGTGAAGGTTGCGGAGGAGGGCGACGAGGGCTCGATTTGCCTAGCTGAAGGTAGTCAGGGTGAGTTCAGCGCTGCGAGTATTAGATCTCGCGTCCGCATGTCCAAGCAATCAGATTCTGCGCTACGCTGCATTCGCGTAGCTTGTAGTGTATTGGAATACATCAGCTTGGCTTGCCTGAGCTATCCCTGACTGACTTGTCGCAGCTTAGCTCGGTAGAGCTTGGTTCGGTTCATTGCGGTGTGTGCGGAAGGCGGGAAGGACGTGGGGCATGAGGATGGGGAGGGTAAGTGTGAGGAGTGGTAGGTTTGAACGCAAGCTTCAGTAACGAACGCGAAGCGACATGACGTTGGAGCGGGCAGTGCTTGGAATGTCTGGGGTGCGAGACTTGCGAGACTTTGTATGAAGACACCATGTCAGTATAACTCGTTCTGTCCTGCTCGCTGTCAGGCGTGACGAGTGTGCGAAGCTGTCCGTCAGGTACCATGATATGCGGGACTCGCTCCAGTTTGGCGGTTTGGCTGCATTCCCATATGTTTTGTTGTTGGTTTCTTGCTGGGGTGTCCGGTATCGCTCGGACTATGTTCACGTAAGCACATGCGCAAACCAAGTTCAAAGGTAATGTTCTCGCGTTCGGGCGAATGGCAGATGGAATTCGGGGTCAACTACAAGCATTGGCTCAATGTCCAGACAATCGCCCAGCAAACCTTGTCGTGTTGAGCTCAAGATGTGGTGACTTTCAGTGCCCTATGGCTTTCCGTTGTGACCCTTGGCATCGCTAAAGCCGAACACATACGAATTCTAGCTGCC